ATATTTTTTTTAAAAAGTTAGGGTTTTCCCTGCCCCACACACTCTCCTTTTCTTTTTCTTTTCTCCCATCCCAGCCGACATCCCCTTCTTTCTTCTCCTCTCTCTCTCTCTCTCTCTCTCTCTCTCTCTCTCTCCATCTTTTTTTTTCTTTCCTCTTCCTCCCGCCACTACATCTTCTTCTTTATTATTATTATTTTTTTTGGTAAGTAGCTGCATCTTCTTCGTCTTTCTCTCCATCTTCTTCTTTCCTTCTTCTTCCTCCCCATACACTCAACCACGAAGTGGTCCTCAAGCTGATGGCTGCATCTTATTCTTCTTCTTTCCCTCTTCTCTCCATCTTCTTCTTCTTTTCTTCTTCTTCCTCCCCATACCCTCAACTAGGAAGTGGTCCTCAATCTCAGTTCAATCCGCTACCATCGATGCTCGCCGAACCAAACCAAACCGCACCGACTTCTCGGCATGCCGATTGTAGTCGGTCTTACATCAACTCGGTGCGACAGCGGTCTCCAAAATAGGTGCGTCGATAACCTCCGATTCGGTGGTCGGCAACTCCTCCAAGACACGGTTATCGAACCATGAACAGCCCTAGTTTTTTTAGTGACTTATTGGTCTGATTGGTACATAAGAAAATTCTCTCTCAAAGATTTGAGGTCCGAAACATCAAATCTTTCTCTCATAGGTTGTTCTGGTGGCTTAGGGCCTTGACCAGTCATTCTCACATAATCGATTTGCATTTCTAGTCACATGTAGCACAATTAAGTTCAAGCAAAGCAGAAAAGAGTGCCAACGGCCATGATTGGAGATATTTTCATCTGGAACAATGTGTATGGACTACTTTAGTAAATGAAAACTAAAACTAACAAAAACTTTAAGTTATTTTTCACTTTCAAGCTTTAAATTTGTTTCATTTTCATTCTTTCACTATGCAATCTTGGTTTATCTATGCTTAGGCTGAGACGAGGAGAATCACAAGATCAGCACCACCGAATAGAAAACGGAATTAAGTCTTCATATATTGTTGAATGTAGCAATGATATTTCAGAGGTGAATATGCATGCAGGGTTTTGATGGTGAACTAAAGGAGCTGATATGGTAGTCATTTGAATTTACTATGGAAGCTAGGATGAAAGAATTTTTGAAGTTAGCCTATGACAACCTGATGAACAGAAACCCTAATTTTTTTGTTAGAAATGAGAGACGGTGTCAAAACGATAACCTTCATTCTTTCTCTAATCAATGCAAAAACAAGTGTATATAATAGGCAAAAAGTCACTTTTGGTCCCTATAGTTTTCCACTTTTACCACTTTGGTCCCTGTCGTTTCAATTTGGTCAATTTTGTCCCTATAGTTTCAATTTGAAGCAATTCAAGGACAATCCTCAATTTCTGTCAAATTTTTGTAACTTCTGTTAATTATAAAGGAGCAATTCTGTCCACAAATTATTATTTTCTTTAAAATAATTTTAAAACATTAAAATCAAATATATAAAAATTAAAAGCTAACCCCCTCCGCTCCCAGCCCCACCCTTTCACCGTCACCCCAACCCAACCATCCCAAAAAACCATCATCCACAGACCACCACCTAGCCATCGCCAAAAACTACTGTCCACCCACTAGCACCTAGACATCGCTCACCATCCATAAACTTTCTTCTCCGACCAAATAGAAGGGAAAATGCCCTCACAGATATCCATTCCCAACCCATCTCCCTCCAAACCCGACACCCATTCCTACCCCTAGGTCCAGCCCCACCCCTTCGCCCGGAAAACACAAAACCCAACCCCACACTGCGCCCACCTTATTCCCATCCTCAGCCAACCTCCTTTTTTCCAGATCTGACGATGTAGCTAGACCCCAACAACCTCTTGGAGCTCATGGATTCTTCTTCTTCTTCCCACTAGCTCATGCAGCGGCAGCATCTCGTCGTCTCCATCATTATCATCATCATTAACGACATCAGCAAGGTATTCGTTTCTCCAATGCTTCTCTACCGCATGAGACAGCATGGGAACCTTCATCAAAGCCAAGCTCTCGAACTTTCTCGAAGTCCGCATGGGATGCGACTGCGAAGATCTCGGAATCGAAGGGATGGGCCTTGACGAGGACGAAGATCTTGGCCCCGTTGAGCTCCTCCTTGGTGGCGGTGGAGGAGGGTGGCGAGAATGAGAATAAGCTTAGCAACCGATCTGACGATGGCGATCGTTGGTGACAGAAATGGGTTGAATCCATCGTTTGGATTTTTATTTTTATTTTTTATAGAGAGAGGAAGAAAAAGCAACGATTGCTGCAGAAGAAGGTGGCGAGAATGAGAAGAAGCTGAGCAACCGATCCGATGATGGCGATCGTTGGTGACAGAAATTGGTGGAATCCATCGTTTTGGATTTTTTTTATTTTTAGAGAGAGGAAGAAAAAAGGGGAGACGTCATCCCCATCCTCATGATCACCTCCTTCATGCTTGATCTGAACCCTCTTCTCATCTGGATTTTTTCTTTTTTGGGGTTTGGAGTTTGGGTGGGCTTGGATGGTTGGGGTCGTGGTTGGGTGACAGGGAGGTGGTGGCTGACTAGGGTTGGGTGGGGATTAATTTTTAAAAATGAATAAATTTTTTAATAATTTTTGGACAAAATTCCCCTTCCATAATTAACAGAAGTTACAAAATTTGCCAGAAATTGAGAATTGTCCTTGAATTACTTCAAATTGAAATTACAGGGACAAAATTGACCAAATTGAAACGACAGGGACCAAAGTGGTAAAAGTGAGAAACTACAGGGACCAAAAGTGACTTTTTGCCTATATAATGTTACTCATTGTGGACATCAAATCGCTTGATATTTTAGTTTAATATTATCGTTTAATCCTTTGAATATTTTGAGCGAAAAACTAATCGAGTCCCTATGAGAATAGAGGAAAAGTTGTGCCCCATCGCTTCTAATTTTTGTTTTTTTTTTTTTTTTTTTTTTTTTGACAATGTTGTAAAGATGCAGAGAGAAGAGCTTCCAATCCTTCCATGGAATTTGATCAAGCCTATCCAGTGAGCCATGCGGAAGTTGGTTATAGCCATCCTATGTAAGGTGATAGCAATGTAGGCGCCAATCCTTTGGAAGCAACATAAGCGAGTGCGAGAGAAACGATTCAGAGTTCTTGCAACTTGAAGGTGTATATGGAGGAATGTGATCTTTTTTTATTTATTACAAGTGATAGTCTAAACTACACTAAATAATCTATTCACGAAGAGGGGGATTCAAACTTGGATGTAAGGGGGTGAGCTTGCTACCCTAAACCAGTTGGTCTAACCCACCTAGAGGAATGTGACTTTATTAATCATATTTAGTCTGGTGTGCCCCCACTATTGCGACCTATAATAATCCCCCCCCATGGTGTTGGGCCATGATCAGTTCACCCTAATGATCTGCACCTCGATGCATAAGATAGAAATGGGAAAACTATGGAGTGCCTTTCATTTCCAATTATGTGTTATTTCAATTTCCAGTTTGTTGAACCCTTGTAAATTCAATATACCCATTTTGGTGGTGCCTATCTTCTTGAGTGCTGTTCCCATCCCCAACCTTATTTTGCAAAATAACATTATATTCTCACCCACCCCATGGAAATTTCAAAGAGAACAATCCATTCGGAATGTCGGGTTTGACTTCCGTCTTCTTCCCCATTCCCCATTATCACTTGTAGAGAGAGAGAGAGAGAGAGAGAGAGAGAGAGAGAGAGAGAGAGTACAAGAAAAAAAAGGTATTAGTGGCCACCCACTTGGTCACAGTAACCACCCTTTTTGGTCACTGATCACTGAATGCAATCAGTGTCCAAATATTGCTGGTCATTGGGTGGTCACTCGTCACAAATTCTATTTAGTGTCCAATGTCTACTATTGGTCACTACAACACAGAATTAGTGGCTATCCCTGTCTGGTCACTAATAAAAACACTATTAGGGACCACAAATTTGGTCACTAAAGGGCTTACAATTTGGTCACCAAAACATGCATTTTGGTCACTGAAATTGGGTCACGTGCCCACATTAGTGATCTACTTGCTTGGTCACTAATGTTTTTCAGAAAATTGGCAACTAATTAGGTTTACCTCTCCGTGTTCTTTATTTATTGTATTACAATATGAAATCAAAATTAATTTCTTTTAAACAGTGCTGTAGATAAAATTTATAGCATCGAATAATTCATTGCATTCAAAAGCAATCAATATATCTAACATTCTTCCAACAAATTCACAAGATGTCTCAAAAACAAAATGCTACATGTTTAAGTTCAACCTAAATGTCAAGTGATTCCCAAAAACAAATAACATAAGATTCATCACTAGTAGATGCACTAAACCCGGAATTAACTAAATGCAAGAATAATTAGACTCAAGGGCTAGCTAGCGCATCTCTAATTAGTTGCTTAAAGTTTATCTGTCACTTGTCTGAAGTAACTGGAAATTAGGAACTCATTGATGATAAAGTCGAGGATAACTGGAAATTAGGAAATTAGTATATTGTGCAGTTTGCAAAAATTGTATTGTAATAAGATGAGAGTTATAAGCTAACCTCATTGATGATGAAGTCGAGGACAACTGCTATAGCAATCTTTTTACTAGTGCACTGATCAAAGTAACAAAATTAGATAAGACAATAGCTTTTACTTTTTACTACACTAGGCCCCATCCACATCCACATTCAAATCTACCTTGAAAAAATTATCTGGGAATATTGAGACAGCGACTCAATGCTGTCAACTTGTATTTGGATGCTGGTCAAGATATGTTTCCAATTGCCCTGTTGATAGAGCATCACTGAATGTAAATGAGAATTGTAAAGAGACAATCCGTAATGTACTTCGAAACATGCATGGCCCAAGTTCTATATCAAACACTAGAGATACAGCAGAGAAACATGGTAATTCAAAGATGCATGTTGCAACACATACATGTCTCCCAATTATAACAGGAAATGTGAGTATATGACATCTAAAGCTCACTTGTTTGTACTAGTACCTAAAAAGAGAGCTGAGGGCTTCCCAGGCCGTGATTTAAATTCTGGATGAAATTGCCTCCTACATAGAATGGATGGCTTGGAAGCTCTAAAATCTGCAGAATAGAAAAGTAACAAAATCTTGTAAACAGTCAAATATTCAAATTCAATCCTTTTCAGTAAATGGTAAGAAAGGATTGTGTGCAACTATAACCAAGTAAATTCTGACAAATGCTCACTACAAGTGAGCATAAGACCGGCAGAAAACCCACCTCCATTTGTCTTCCACTGTCATCCTTCCCTACAAATTTTAGGCCCGCTTCTTCAAGAATTCCAATAACATCTGGGTTCACCTGCATCATGACGAAATCAGACCATGTCCACCACATAAAGGCACTTGTGAAATATCATGTTTCACCTGAAGTAAATTACAACCAACCTCATATCTATGCCGATGCCTTTCATCCACATACTCCAAGTTATGGTACCTAGAAATTGAAAGCAATACCAGATTATGAATGTTAAAAGTGGATGCTAATAGTGGAAAATTAAGTTTCAAAGTGGTGGTCTTCTGGGATTTTTTTTTATATAAGCGGTCACAGATACAACATATAGTTGAGATGTCAGGAAAGACTTCCTGCAAAATAATAAACTAGCCAACAAAGTTGAAGAGTTTTACAGTATAAATGCAATAAAGGTAAAAGTTCAATTGCGTGTGCCATGGGTTCTTCCAGACCGGCAGTGTTTGAACACATGGCACTCGCACCGACTTTACTGTATAAATGCAACAAGGTAACTGAACTTATAATTTGAATTTTCAGTAACAGACAGGTTATCTGTTGTATATCTCAAGTTGAACGTAGTAATAGATAATGAACATACAGCTTTGAAGTAATGCAATCAGGAGTCTGGAAAAGTGTTCTTCTGGATCCCAGTCTCACTGTGCTTCCCATATGTGTTCTTGACTATATGCAGACATAAAAGAATGAACTATCACAGGAAGAATCTTGCAGCCATATGTACATAACTGAATAGGAAAGCATCACCATAAATTTGTATCTCGGGCATAAAAACTACAACAGGATTTGGTGTATGTTCATCGAACTCTGTGCTGTCCACCTTTTCTAAACTCAAAACCTAAAACAAGTAATTAAATTAGGGCTGATATATGATCTTAAAATTAGAAGAAAACATGTTAGCGAAAGAAATGTCGCTTAGGGATCTTGCGAACTCAATCACGGAAGTCTGCATGCCCAAACAAATCCCAAGGTAAGGAACATTGTTCTCTCTGGCATACTTTGCAGCTAATATCATACCTTTCACACCACGATCTCCAAATCCACCAGGAACCAAGACGAATGCAGCATTCTGCAAATGTAGAATAGATCGAAACATAATTACGCAGACCCTCAACTGTACTGGCAAAGGGATGATAATGTAGCACTGAGGTTTCCAACTTTGGGTTTGGAAGAAGACCAGATAGAAGAACATTCAGTTCAAAGGACCACATTTCCAGCTGTTTAAATTCATGGTCAACTGCATTACGGGTAGATGTATGAAACTAGCCTAAAGCAAACAAAATCGGTCAGAAAATCAATGGATTGTGAAATTCAGCACAATATATAACAGTCTAATCAGGACATGCATTGTTTATATCAGAACATGTCCACTGCAAACTTAAATTCACAAGAAGCAGTAGATTAAAAAAAAATGCAATAATCAGAACTGAAATCAAAATTGAACCTAAAATCAAGCTCTGCCTGAGTACCAAAAGAAAACCTAACTGATTTAAGGACACAAAGTTTTGCTTAGAAATCGGGAATAGAGAATCACACTCAGAGTCACAATCGTACTCAAATCTAACTCAAATGAAATCGAAACTAACATTGAAAGCAAAGAGAAATAGAAAGCTCACATGATATTGGGAGAAAACTTAGAAATCGAAACGACAGAGACGAAGAGGACGACGCTCGTCGGAGAAGACGGTATCGCTCTCTCTTGTCTCGCTGGTCTCTCACTGAGCTCGCTCATCGAAGAAGATCGTATCGCCGGTCTCGCTCTGAGCTCTCTCTGGTCTCGCTCGTCGAAGAAGACGGTATCGCTCTCTCTGGTCTCTTTGGTCTCGCTCGTCTTTTTAATTTTTATTTTTTCCTTTAGGCTCGCTCAGAACACGCGCGTTTTGAAAACCCAAAAACAAAAACAAAAAATAAAGTTTAAAAAAGTTAATTGGTCACTGATGTGTTATTAACATAAGTAAGGCTAGTTTGCAGTATGTGTTGGTCACTAGCTTTATTTTTTAAGTTGTTTTTAGTGACTAATTTAAATATTGGTCAGAAAATTTAGTCATTAAAAAATAAAAAATATTTCTTAATCCATTTACTGACCATGTAGTATTATTGGTCATTAAATTTACTGTATTTGTGACCATTATTAAGGTGGTCACAAGTAAATTGGCCACTACTAACCTTTTTTCTTGTAGTGAGAGAGTATGCCCCCAGTACTGACACTAGAGAAGATATGCCTTCTAGGAGTAAAAGGGGATGATTCATTATAGTGACTCAATAGAATATTTAGTGAAAGGAGACATATGGTTTGCTACATTTCCAGATGATCCTGATGGCCTTGGGGAGCCATTTGGATATGTATCTCTCTTGTGGGAATGACTATGGAAGATGAAAGATCTGAAAGGTTATGTAAAGGCTATCTTTCAAAATTTATTTGCTCCTACAACCTTGGTACAAAGGGATACTCAAAAAGTCTTGTGGATACAATGAAGTGATTTAGTGGTGTTGTTTATCAATGAGGTGCACACTTGAAGAAAAACACCAAACACGCTTTAGAATTGACAAGGACACTCAAGAATGTCTAGAGGCTATTGCTGCATATTATAGTCTCTAGATGAATTTTGCTTTATGAAAATAGGAGGAGGAGAGTTTGTGAATGAATAGGATTGAATATGTATTCTTTTGCAATAATCCTCCTCTATTTACAGGGGAGTTTGTGTCTTTTCTGAATTGAACCTCTTCATCAAAAGGTATCACTTCAATGAGGATACATCTCTTCATGTAAGAGTGTGTTTTTATGTTTAAATCATGTATATGAAGTGTTTCTAACGTTCATATATGTAATTCGAACACTTAGTCATCAAGAGACACATCTAAGCACTCAAAAGGTGTTTGAAACTGCACCCCAACACGAACCTATTGACAGGTCCCAATTTGGCAGTAAGTTTCGCGAGAGCCACTTTAGGCTTCGCAGGAGGCTTTGCCTAAAGCCAATTGGTTACCGGTTGCTTTTTTCCAGATTGTTATATTTCTTAAAATCTTCAACATGGCCAATGTCTCAGCCAGGGATTGCTGCAATGCCGCCATCCCTTGTGATAGAGCATCTTCAACCTACTGGGATGATTGTTGGAAGTTGTAAATTCCCACCAATTAATTTCTGCTCAGTTAAGGGTTCCAATTGATTCACGAGAAGCTGCATGAAAGCAAATATAGGTTTTAAATGCAAAGATATAAAACAATTAGAAAGAGATAGGACCAAAATGAATACATTATGCCCCCATGGTATTCAATTTTTAATTTTGAAATTTGATGACACATTCTATAAGTTGAAAGTTCAGCACTCAAGAAATTGATTACTTGCAATCAAGGAATAAATGTATTGTTCATACCATGGACACGATTTTAAATGCATAGCCAAGTGACTCACCGCATCGAATTTGCATACGATGTAGGATGTTATAGGTTCTGATTTTGTGGGGGCATTGATGGAGGGGAGGATGGAGAAGACGTTTTGTGCAGGAAGCAAGGAGGTGGCCGGACGACAACATTTGATCTCCAAGAAATCAAACGGTCATAAATAGTTATTGAAGGATAGACTCAAGATTTCAAACTGGAGTGGGCTAAATTTACCTTATGCACACACGTGTTAAACTCGGCAGTACGAGTAAATTTCATTAATAACAAAAAATACACCTAATCAGATTGACATAATGAGTTTTACCCCTCAAAACACATCTATTACATATCACTTTTCTATTTTCTACATGCAGGGGTGTGTGAAGTGTAGAATGATTATAAACTACCAAATAAAGAAAATAAGTGGGGTTGTTTTCGACCAAAAAAATAAAAGAAGCAGCGATTGTTTGTACAGTAGGGCCGTCCATCGGGTGGGTTGGGTATATTAGTTTAGGCTTAAAAAGAGAGCATTGAGAGCAAGAGAGAGGAAAAAGAAGAAGGGCGTGCTATTTAAATCATTCTTTTTTCAAAATACCAAAAATGGCCTGTACCTCCGCTAACCATAGTTTTCATTAAAACTCCGATTCAAACCTAGTAGAGGTTTGTAAGCAATTAATGCATCTAATTCTCTCTCACTTTGTACTTTGCGTCAAGTTCTCCATCACTTTCCATTGCCTTGCCATACAGGCACACTTGGTATCCATATAAATCTTAGTAGTGATTTGGCTTAAGGATAGTGTAACTATTTTAGTTTGTGGAAATTATAAGGAAATAAAGGTTTGCTTTTAAGTAATTATTTATTCATTATTCTTTTTAAAAATACATGTCTTACTTGGAATCACCTCCTCTTGAAGTAATGCTCGATCTTTATATTTCCCTTCTCTATATATAACTGTCTCCATATTAGCTTTCTTCATTCGAGTTCTCTGCTTTCATTTCTCAAAATTAAGTATTTTGTATTGTCTTCTCATTGATTGCCTCAGTCGTCTTGATTTTTCATTCAACATTTCTCCTAATAGTTGATCTTTGCTGTTGAATCTCTGGTTAACTTATATTAGAGGTACGTACGTCTTGGAAACTTTCTTCTTTGCACTATGGGCGTTGGTTTTATTCTGGTCCAGAAGAAGAAAAAACACAAGTGCACACAAAGTAAATAAGTTATATTTGCAGAAAGTACTCAAATATAATGTTTTTGGTTAATAATTCATCTTCTCTGCATAAAGTATATGGTAACTCTTTCTCATAATTTCTGTGGTTTTTATACAATTTTTACTGATATGGATATTTTTCTAATATTTTCATGTTTTTGGACCACCAATATTTTCGAAAACCTCGATATTTTAAACCTTGGATGATAGTAAACTTGTGTACGTAGAGACGATTATTGGATTGGGAGTGCTTGCTATGTGCTCCGCTTATTTGATTATATGCCACTGCAACTTTGCTTTAGACTTTCAGGAGAATATATAAATAGTTGGACTGGTCATTATATGGCTATATATTGAAACATAATGCAGTACAGATGATACTTCAATTATTTTTTTTAGCCAGAAGATACTTTATAAATTTTGATGAAATTGCGCAATTTTCAATACATCAGTACTTGAACAGTTTCAATTGCATCTGCCTACTCTTGTTTTGTCGCTCCTTTACTTAACTAGAATCTGCTTTCTCTTATTCTTCTACCAGTTGGAGCTTTATGCAATTACAAATATTGTCCCTCTGCTCTCAAGGTACAATTCTCAATTGGTTCCCTTCTCTTCTTCCTCAATCATCAGTGCATGGGCGGAACTACCCTATCTGTAGCCCAAGGAGCTTTTTGGAGGTTAATATATATACACACTAGCCTCTTCGCACATGCTTCCGTGCCTGCGAGAGGCTTTTTTTAAAAAATTTAAATTTATTTTAGAATTAAAAAAGATAATGAGTAGTTGTGTTCCATAAAAATATGATCCATTATCTGATTTTTCTTTTAATTTTACTTTTTTTAATATGAAAAACTGTGAATTTAACATATTATCCTCATTTAATTAATAATTTCAATTCTTAATGTTTGCATTAACGCATTTTCTGGTATTTTGAATGTTTTACCATTCTCTGCCTTTTGCTTTATATATATATATATATATATTAAATGTAGTCTAATATGTAATAACTTATTAAAGTAAAAAAAAAAGTCTAATTTTTTATGAATTTAGTTACAGGGTAGCAATAAAAAAAAAGTACACTTTCAATTATGTTGTTTTCATTTTGATAATATGTGTTTTTCGGTTGTATTTAATAAATATGTATTTGTTTGTTTTATGTTAAAGCTTATTGAACTAACATGATTTATATGATTTAATGTATATTTATTTCTAAAAAGAGTAAATAAATTGTAAGTACCAAAAAAAAATATTATTAAATTTTAAGCTAATAATTTTAGTTAGTTGATCCTTTAAAAAATTCATGTTTCCGCCCTTGCATCAGTGTTTGTGCATTTTATTTTATTTTTGTTAGTGAAATTACAATTTAGAAAATAAAAAACTATTTATTCTCTGTTGCATATATATTTTAAATAATAGTACATTTGTGTACATAGAGAGAGGATTATTGCATTAGGGGTTTGTTACACATGCTTGGCTTGGCCTGGCTTGGACTAAATTTAGTACCATGTTTGTTTCATCTAATCCTAATCTTAAATGAGATTACTAATATTGGGCCCACCAAAAACACCTCCTTAGAAGGGGACTGCTAAACCCATGTAAAAAGGGAAGAATAATTAGTCTCATACTTACCAATGTATAAGATGCATATATTATATTGTAATAATAATAACATATATTACTATTATTATTATTACATACCCATATTTATATTATATTATATTATACTTATATACACATATACTATAATGTATATATATACACGTATATACACACTAGCGGTGCTTCAAATTACCCCTTAGCTGAAGCTGATGGGGGTGCACTTCAAGTGTTCGACAAAATGCCACAGCCAAAGAGATGTTAAGGAGGAGGAGGAGGTCAGTTATGCCTACAAACTCCAAGAGCAGTTGAGGATCGAGATTGTGGAGACCTTGAGGAAGGCCTTAGCCTCTAAAATTCCACTTGAAGTTCTTGAGTCCAACAAGTCGTCGAGTGTTCGAGGAAGACACTACTTGGCTTGGATTATTTGGAAGACAACAATCCATGGGCTTTCAACAACATGGCTAGGCCTACATTTCGTGGGCTTTTATGATTTCATTTTTTTGGTACGAGGTTTCAGCCTTTCAAAATTGCACATCCGTTAAAAAAATTCTAGGTCCGCCAGTGTATATACGTACACATATACACATATATACTTATATATTATATATATACAGAGAGCTTCCATTGAGGAATCCCTCAAATAAGCTTATTTGAGGGACACCCCTTGTAGAGCCCACTCCGGATTGTATTTCACTAATCAAACCGTCTATTTTGTAGATACACATTCAAAGATCATCTCTACAAAAAATCACTTGAATCCGATATCATTTGACCATTCAATTGAGTTATTGAAATTTTAGTACTTTCTTGAAGCACCGTGTTCATTGATTTTGTAGGATACAATTGGATGTCAAAATGGTTTCCGATTTGTCTAATTTTTTGTAAGGATGATCTATGAATAAAGACCTAAAAAATAGATGGTTTGGATCATTGGAAAAAAAATTGTAGGATACCCTAAAGGGCGTCCCTCAAATAAAATTATTTGAGGGATCCCTTAATAGAAGGGGACTGTATATATATAATATACATATACATATACCAATTTTATGCTGAGATAAATTGTGAAATCCTCACCAGTCTGAGGCAAAAAGAACTTACTTGGGAGATATTCCTCACCCAAATTCATAATCGCTTGTTTGGAAATCAATAACTCGGGGCGCAAGTTATCGGTTTTAAAGAAGTCTGCTAGAATCTTTGTTGCTAGTAGTGGCACGCTCATACACCAAAGAAAGCTGACTTGTTGACCAGTCAATGGTTTCCAAGGCAGTGGGGAACTTTTCCCTTCCATCTCAGGAATAAACTCAAAACGGGTGAACAACTACGAGAAGAGGATCTTCCTTCATATTTATCTTCTCTGTTTCTCTCTCTCTTCTTCTTTTTCATTTTTTTCTTCTACTACGAGATTGTTACGCTAACATGGTATCATGAACCATTTGGGCAATATTGCAAGCCCCAATTTCTTGTTTGATTTTATAAGCTTATTTGAGAGGGGCACTTTTGTGCGGTTTGGTCGGCATTGTATTTTAATGATATAGCCCGTCTATTTTTTAGTTAATTCTTCAAAGGTCATCTCTTCAAAAAATGACTTGAATTGAAAATCATTTAAACACGCAATTAAACGTTTGTATTAGTTTAGAATATTTGAATTCGAATCCCTCTCTTTCAAGATTAGACTAGTTTAAAATATGGTCTTTTTAGTTAAAAAATTAAAGCTGTTAGATTTAGAGGTTTTAGTCCATTTTAATCAATTAATGATGAACTTATTAAAGTGAGCCGTTTGTAAGAATAATTTGTATTTTCCTTCAAAACTGGGCTTTGTGGCGTGAGAAATAACTAACGCACAAATTAAACCCTATAAATCATGCAATCATAGTACGCGTAAGTAGGGATCGTTCTATTCCGGGGATTAGGAGGGATGCTAATCAACACAAATTAAACTTATTAAACTGAAAACTAAGTTAAGGGAACAATGATTGGGGGGAATTTGGACAATTTAGACTAAAGTAATACTGACAGCAGCAAGCAACTAAGTTGTGAATGAAGTATGGATGAAGGGATAGCTAGAGGATTCTTCTCCACACATGGAACATATGCACACAAATTGATCTCCAATTACTCTTTCTATAAAGTATGAATGACAAAGCCCCAAATTAATTGTGAATGCACTAATTAACTCTCAGATTTTTCTAAGTTCATTGAATTGGACTCAGTGACGCAATCAAATTATCCTTATCAAGTTCCCTATATGAACAACATAATAGAGATACATATCAAAGATCATTAAGTTCTATGAAAATCATAAGCCTTGACAAGGCAATTGTAACTATGAAAAGCATGATACTCCTGCCAAGAATTTACTTAACACAATCATGACTAGTGGCTTTTACTACTTGTGAATATAAGTTCATAACGATTAGGTGAAATTCCCTTATATTCTAGCATCAAATCTCTGCATACAAACTAAGTATGCATCCTTAATAAACATGCAAGAATAAGTCCTCAATAAAACAGAAAAGTAAATCACATTCATACTTTATGAAACCATAACTGGAAGTAATCAATTCATGTAAAACATATGTCCATGGCTTCTAATTCACCTCTAACTAAGAAGAAATTCAGTTACACATGTTCATAATAATTGAAAAGCAATCTAGAATAAACATTTAAACTAATCAAGGGAAGAACTCTGAAAAACCCAATGGATGCAGCAGGTTCCGGCTCCAAGTTCTTCTTCTCCCTTTCTCCTTTCTTGCTACGGCACCAAAAGAACTTCCTTCTCCTACGGCAACCCCTCCTTTATATATGTGGTAGATCTAGGGTAAAAGGGCCCAGCAGAAACCCACGAAATTAGGGTTTTGTTTGGCAGATTTCTTTAGGAACAAGTATAGGGCCCAACAGAAACCCACGAAATTAGGGTTTTTAGGTTTCCTAATCTGAAATTAATCCCCCCCTTTTCCAGCTGGAATTTAGGTCGAATAGGATTAGGATAAGGTAAAATAAAATAAAATCAGTTAGGGTTTTTTACTTCCCAGAAGCTGATTCTTGAATTAATTTCCCCATCTTTTTAGCACATTCCTAGCCTCTTCGAACTTCAAAAACGTCCATCCATCTTGGCCCATGCATATGCTATCCATTTCAAGTCCAAAACTGCTCTAAAATGCTCCAAAATGCCATTTCTTGCCAATCTTGCCATCTAGACCTACAATAGTACGAAAATAAGCTAAATCACTCTAATAAATGGGAATTAACTAAGTAAATGCAAAGAAATAAGATAGCAAAGTCGCATAAATATGCTCCTATCACTTTGCTTAGCCCAAGTACCCCTTGCTTGGATTTAGACGGGGCCCCAATGATTGGGTTGAACCAAAACCCGTCAAAGCAAATCTGATTAATCCTAAGGGTTTGGATCAGGTGAGAACACTTATGTGCGAACGTTACGTGAGAACACCGTTGGATCTAATCTAACGGCTGCATCAAAAGCAATTGTAAGTGTAAGTGTTGTATTAGAACGACACCTTCTTCTCTCTCCTCCCGCCAAAACGTCGAGTCGGAAACAGACATCCCCTCCAAAACAGACGTCTCCTCCAATCCAGCTGTTTGTTTTGTTCAAGGTGGCCAATTTTTTTATCAGCTTTGATTGGGCAAGACCAATAACATTGAAGAGAGAGAGACCCTGTTATTCCTTATTCGATTCCAGGAAGAACACAGAAGTATTAGCCCTCATTTTTCTGGGTTTCTCATTCAAGCGAAAGAAAGTGTTCGTGTATTTTATATTATCATCTTTGTGGTTCGATCTTTCTGGTCGGCACATTCATCAATCCTTGACCAACGTCTTGAGTTGGAAACTGGTGACCATGACCGTTGTGCTGTTCTCTTGGTTTTGAAATCGTTGAGCACGGTCGAAACAGGGGTTGAGGAAGAAGAAATGTGTTTGGGTTGACATCCAGATCTAAAAGGGCGACATTGTCATATTTGTAGAAATTTTGAAGTTGGAAATGACTCACGAGGTAAGTGATATACTGTATTTGTCAAGTTTATTATTGGACATAAGCATGAGTTACATTAGTTTGTATGTAGGTATTTAATATTTCACCAGAGAATCATTTTTGTATCATATGTTAGTTAACGTATATATTTTAAAGATCTTTATACTGTATTTGTCAAGTTTATTATTGGGCATAAGCATCAGTTACATAATTTTGTATGTTGGTCTTGAATATTTCACCAAAGAGTCATTTTCATATTATATGTTAGTTAATATGTATATTTTGAAGCTCTTTACACTGTATTTGTCAAGTTTATTATTGGGCATAAGCATGAGTTACATTAGTTTGTATGTAAGTCTTTAATATTTCACCAGGGAATCATTTTCATATCATATGTTAGTTAATATATATATATATATATTTTAAAGCTCTTTGAAAGCATGAGCCAATGTTGGTATGATGGTGGTGAATTCAGGGTTAAATTGCAAGAACTGTGCAATGGAGTGTGAAGGACAGGTGACACCGGAAGTAAGGTCGGAGTTGAAACCAAAATTGGGACTTGAATTTGATTGCCGTGACGATGTGTTCAATTTCTATAATATGTATGCTGAGAAGCCGGATTCGGCATTCGGTGTTCTACAACGAGGACGTGCACAATGACAGAGAGGTAACAAGGAAGGAATATGTATGTTGTAAACAGGGGTATGCATTGACAAGCACTGTTAGTCATAAGAGAAGACGGCGAGGTTGTACTCGAACTGGTTGCAAGGCTAAACTTGCGATATTGAAGATGAAAGACAAGAATAAGTACATTGTTGTAGGATTCAATGAGGTACACAACCATGACATGACCACAGTTGATAAAGTCCATCTATTGAGATCTCACCGTAACTTAACAGAGTCTACAAAGGCCTATAGTGCAGATATGAGCAAAGTTAATATTCTGGTACATAAACAGTTAAGCCTTCTTGAGGTGCAAGTAGGGGGATTGGAAAATGTTGGGTTTGGTAAGAGAGATGTCTATAATTATCTAAGGGACGTGTGTGGAGAGGTGATTGGCCATGATGCAAAGCTGCTTAAGGAGCATTTTATGGCTATGCAAGAAAAGAATGAATCCTTTTATTTCAAGATGGAGGTAGATTCGGAAGGAAAGATGGGTAATGTTTTCTGGTCAGATGCAAGGTTAAGACGAGCTTATGGTTTTTTTGGAGATGTGGTGGTATTTGATATGACATTCAACACGAACCGCTATAGGATGGTCTTTGCGCCTTTGTTAGGCGTTAATAACCATCAGCAGACAGAGTTGTTTGGTTGTGCATTCCTAACTAGTGAAACCACATATTCATTTGTATGGTTGTTAGAGGAATTCAAGAAAGACATGCCGAGTGAGCCACCCAAAATAATCATCACTGATCAAGATGCAGCCATGTCAAACGCAATTGCTGTAACTCTCCCGACAACATTCCATAGATATTGCATATGGCATATCTTGAATAAGATTACAGAGAAACCCGGCATTGGAGAATGTTTTTCGGAAATGAACAAATGCATATGGGGTATGGACAAGAAAGAAGAATTTGATGCGAAATGGGAGGAAATCATCACAAACAATGGGCTGCAAGACCATGCGTGGCTGAGCTCAATTCATGCTATGCGGGAGAATTGGGTTCCATCATATGTAAAACATGTGTTTTGGGCTGGGATGTCAAGTAGTCAACGGGCCGAAAGCTGTCATTCATTTTTCAAACAATATATTAACTGGAAAAATACATTGATGGAATTCATTGTACGTTTTGAGAGAGCTCTTGCTTCACAAAGACACAAGGAGTTAATGGCTGATCATGTTGATTACAATGAAAAACCTCCACCGCCTTTTCAAACACCAATGCAACATCAAATGGGACGCATATACACTTAGAAAATTCTGGAAATGTTTGAGAGGAAAGACTTCAGAAGTCTTTTATGCTTGTTCAAACTTATAGACGAAGATGAGATGCACTACAAATACAAAGTGAGTGAGCGGGTAAATCCGGGGGTGACACGGATGAAGGAGCTTATGCATGATAAAGATGCCGATAAAGCTTATTGCAGCTGCAAAGGTTTTGAATTTTAGGGTATTCCGTCCTGACACATCCTAGCATTCTTAAGAATGAAGCAGGTTGAGCACTTGCCAGACAAGTACATATTGAAACGATGGCTTCAAAGTGCGAAAAGCGGTGTAATATATGATAAGAATCACAAAGAAGTTAACGATTGCGTTGATGGTTTGCTTTTGGTTAAGAGATCGAAAGTTTGCAAAGTTGCAAGTGAGTTGATTGATTCGGCTTTGTTGTGTGATGAAGGTTTTGAGTTGCTGGAAAATTCTTTTGAGGACATTAGTGGAAAGCTTACAATGTTGGTGTCATCAAGAGCTCATGTCGAAGAACCCAATGGAGATGTCGGAACTAGTTATCCCCAACTCAGAATCAAAGATCCACATCGAGTGAAAGTAAAAGGGCATGCGAAAAGAGTTAAATGAGAAAAAAAGAAGGCAGCGCAACGACATAAACGTCGGTGCACTGAATGTAGGAAGACTGATCATGATAGACGGAGTTGTTCAAAACTTGCGAGCCCGTAAGTGAATATGTGTTATATTGTGCTTTGAAATTTATATTGTTGATTTTTTTTTTTTCCGATGTGGCAGCTCTTCATCTTCCAACACAGAACTTGGTGGTCCAGTTGGTGAGAATTTGCAACCCACTCAGAGCACGCAGGATAGTGAACCTACTATGACAAAGTCATTTATGCAAGAGTTTGATTTCATGTATGGTCCCGTAGTTTGAGCACTTATTGATACTTATTTACATGTTTTTGAAAGTATCTGGAAGCTTTAGTGAATCTTAGGTAAATGTCTCATGTCCGTTGATACTGAACTATGGTTTATTATTAAACACATAACTATCTGGAAGAGTTTGATTTCATTTATGGTCCCGGAGCTTTAACATTTATTGATACTGATTTACATATTTTTGGTCTTGAACGGCACCATGCTTTCAATGCGTAACTCGAAGTTTCGGATCCATCTTTTGTTGAAGGTTGATGTCCCGGATGTCCTCTGGGGTTTGGGATTTTCATAACCTGAAGCCCTTGTTTGAAGGAGAACGAGTTTGGGAGTATCATGCAAGGGGTTTTCTACACAAATTTGCAATGGTTGCAATGAATTTGAAAAGATCGAATGGAATCTTGAAACTATGACTATGTGTCAATAAGAGAATCTTGAAACAATCACTATGTCTCTGTAAAGTCTCAACCAACGAATATCTATGTAGAGAATCTTGAAACAAATTGTCTCCCCACCGACAATGAATTAAACAAAAAATTGTGAGCACTATTACGAAATGAACGCTTCTAATCCGGAAGTTAGTGATCGAACTATGATTGAACTCTAGGTTTGATAGCAGTGTAAAACGAAATAATAAGTTACACGTAACCATGATCGGGCATTAACATTTAAACACTAACCCAGATTGGGCATTCACATTTAAACACTAACCCAAATCGAGCATACACATTTAAACACTAACCCAGATCGGGCATCAACAAAAACAAACAACTGTTAAGGAATTGCATACGGATTGATATAGCTATCACCAGTCATTATCATTGCCTTTTGCTGGTTGGTGGCCTTGCTCTATTGGTTGTGCACCGCTGGAGATGATTTCCTGTGCAGCAGACGGGGTTATGGAGTCCCAGTCAATATCTTTGTAGACATCTGCAGTGAACCGTCGGAATTTCTCAAAACCTTGGTTGAAAGCCACAGACATTGCCTGGCCTTGGTTGTCGCCTCCGTTGTGGATGCTTAAAGATTCGTACGTAGCATCCTCCTCTGTCATATGAAAATCCTTTGCTGTGTGCTTTCTTCTTTGGGCACGAATTCCCTACTTCTCTTTTCGGTAACGGGCTTTGTTAACTTGCCGAGTCAAATAAGCCAACTTCTGCTCATCTTCGACACATTTTTTAGTCCAATAATGGACCAAGGAAGAGTTGTGTTCCAGTTTGTTCTTCATATCATTTATTTCCACAGCGGGATCATCAGAGTCCCCCTCGCTTGCAGAGGAGGTTGGAAGAGGCAGCGGTGGTGGTGGGGACCTTGGATAATCGGGGGCATATTCCCATGAGCCATCGGAGTCCCCCTGATTCGCTTTGCCGCTTGAACTGGCGGACATGTTGACAAAATCGTCAAATTGGGGGATTCGGCTGAAGGTTTGTATGCAAACAAGACGACTGGAAAGAAGAAAAGAGAGATGAAAGGCATGAGTAGCCCATAGGCATAAAACAACATTTATATATTATGTAAGGAAGTTTTCCATTTTGTTTTTTCTCCTTTTGTCCCATCACTTTAATATATATATATATATATATTTAAAGTAATCAGAGTATTTGATTTAGTTAATCATAGGAGCCTCACATGATTAGTAAAAATGTTAGCACACACTTGAATTTTGATTTATCAAGTTTGAATGAGTTCGTAGCAATTTGCGAAATTTTTTCCCCATTTTTGTATATTTAGTTATGAATTTTGTAAGAAAATAGCAATATTCATTTAAATTCACACGGAAAGGAAGGATGTGGCAATGGCCACTGGCGTACACGTGTGCACCTACTGAAGGGGGATGCGGTCAGCTGTCGCCATGTGTGTTATTTCTTTATGTTTTAAATTTTGTAATGCAAAATGATTTTAAAAATGGTAATAAATAGGAGAAAAATCGGAAAATTGCTCGGAAAATTGATTCCAACTCCTTGTGCCGTTACAAAACTGGGGGAAGCTATAAATCATCCAAAGTGATTATGAAAACTTAATTCGTACTTAATTTCATTTGATGTGACAATACAGAGTGTACACTCCATCTTTGGAAAATGGTGATAACTTGCTTTCCTTTGAACCGTAACATTATATTTTGTAAAAATTAGAAGTGTACTTCCTTAATGTTCATTATCTAATTTATAAGAACACAAGTATCAGTTTCATTTGCTTCATATATAATTGTTCGGAAAAATATTTCTATATTTTCTCCTTTCAATTGACTGACACAATATGGTTCTTGTTATTTCATTGCTAAAATTATATATTTGAAACCAATAAGGAAACCTCTAAAATGCCAAGTTACGAACATAATTAGCTACCATATAAGTGATCAAATAAATGATCAAACCTCAAAACTCACCCAATTACTTAAAAAATGGGGAAACAAAAGCAGACTTCAAAATAAATTTATTCAGCACTGTATTTACTAATATATTTTTCTGCATAGCTGCATTATTTTATTCAAATGACCCAAAATGGAAACACACAAGAGCATTTACCTCATATATAAATATGCTATGAACATAAAGAGTATCGACTAAGTTTTATATTTTATATTAGTAGATTATATTGTATACAAAACTTAAGCCACAATACTTATTTATTTAGTTAACTTCCAACATATATATAAACATTGTTATATTGTCTTCTAAGTATGTGTTCTATATATTCATTATGTTGTCTTACTGCTCTTTTTTCTTTCAACATAGTAGTTATATAATTGGTTTTTTCTTCCTTAATGGGGCGGGCCATGGAAATGGCATACCCACCCCTGATTCAACCCATTGCCATCCCTAAACGAACGAGATAAAGCCAAACCCCGATTACTTGATTACTATGCAACATAAATACCTGGATTATCAACAAATCCACCTCTGTTGTTTCTATTCTATGCCTTTTAGGCGTTATAAAATAACACAAAGAAATATGTGATCAGAAAATAATATAAACAAACTTCATAAAAGCACAACAATTTATGTAGACAGAAGTACTCTTAAAAAAATGAAAATAGTTTCCCCATTTGCTTATAGTTGTCCTTCACATCTTACAGTTGGATACATTACCTAAGAACTATGAACACTTCAAACCACAGTTTTTACACCTTCAGGAGCCACACAAAATGCCAAAAAAACGTACTCAAAATGAACCACAACATTTGTTCCGAACAAAATACTGACAACCCCCAAAATGAACTTTATCTAGGGACGGTTTACTCCATGGCGATCCCGTCCCAATTGTAGCTTGGGACAACACATCTTGCAAACTCGTGGACTAGGTCAAACCCTTTGCGTGCTTCTGCTTCCCTCATCTGCACAGACTCATTCGAAGTACTGAACCTTCGAAGACCTTTTCCTTTCGCAAGCCAAACCTTCACTTTCATTCTTTGGACTGATCGAAGGTGGAAGTTCGCTTTCTTTTTCTCCTTCCCCAATGTTTCTTCATACCATCTTAGACGTATCTTCAGGCGTTTGATTTCCATGATCAACGCATCATACCTCATCTTGCCGATCCGAGCTACATCATCGTGGTCCTCAGATGAAAAGTTTATGGATTTCGCAGCTCCATCTGCAACATCTTCAGCTTTATTATTCCTCTGTGACAAAGGTTCTGCATTTTTTGCTGGAGTTGTTATAAGTATGGGGGGGATTTTTGTAGGGGAACCCATTCTAAGTTTAGGCTTGTTTGGAGCAAGTGGAGGTGCAATGGGAGGTAAAATACTCTTACATTGGTATTTATAGAGCAGTCCCCATTTTCATTTTACCCACCAAAATGCCAATGTTGACTACGAGTGGGGAGCTGCAACTTTAGTTACCTTGAGAACTGGTGATGTCATATTTGCATTATTTGTATCATATACAATATTTTAATATTCTTTACCCTTCGTATTTAGTATCATATTTGAGAAGATGAAACTGTTAAGTTGGTCATGTTCAAATGTGACTTACCTTCACAACTTGTGATGTGATATTTGCATTATAAGTACCACAAGCACATTTTTTTGTTTTTCTACTAGTGATATGAGTTCATATTTAGTATCATATTTCAGAAGATGAAATTGTTTACTTGCTCATGTTCAATTCAGATTACCTTCATAACTAGTGATGTCATAAAACACTGTTGTCATTTTCTTTACTATTAATGGTGCGTTCATATTTAGTATCATATAGAAGATGAAATTGTTCACTTGCTCATGTTAAATTCAGATTACCTTCATAACTGGTGATGTCATAAACACGGCTTTCATTTTTTGTACTGTTAATCGTTCATTGATATGATATTTTGTTTCATATTTTGCTGTTAAATTATTCACATGCAATGAATTTTACCTCCATAAGTAGAGATGTGATATTTGCATAATCATTATCATAAAAAGTATATTTAATTTTTTGACTGCTGACGTTGATTAGTAGTATCATAAATGCGAACACGCACGAGGTGTACCTAGGCATGGAGCCACGAGAAGACCAATTTACCGCCAAAACCTGGATCATCGAGGTGTGTGAACTGTCCTTTCAGTCACACCGATTGGGAAACGAAGCCAATAATACATGATCTAAACCCAATGTTGTCTTCGTCCATAGTTTAGGTGACGACGGTTCGTTCCAATATATACCTTTCTTCCTCATTTGTCCAGACACACTGTTCATTATTCATCCACATACCTTTTGCACTCCCTCTTCTCCAACAACCCAGATGGACATCCCAGCTGAAGCATGGTTTAAGGTGCTGCTTTTGGTTGCAAAGCACTCCTCTGAAGATCTGTACAGTATGGCGGGGACATGCAAGTTATTTGAAGAAATGCTGAATGATCCTGAGGTTTGGCGAACCGTGTCTGTAGAGAAGTACCAGTGGCATCCTGAATGGTACGGGTTTGATCAAGAGAAACTTGTTGAGTTCTTGCAAAAGTGCAAGGAACACAACAATCCAGAAATAATTTACAGAGAAGCTGTAACTAAATTCTTCATATTCAAAGATGATGAGGCTGTCAACAACTTTCGGGTGGCGGCTAAGGCAGGGCATATGGAATCCTCCTACACTGTTGGCTTGCTAGGGCTGGTGAACCCTACGGAGGGCGAAGAGGATGCGATGGAATGGTTGTGCCATCTAAGCAAAACGAAGAAAATTGACATGCAAGCATGCAAGACATCATTTTTTAATCGACTGATGAGGTATACCATTTCTGGCATGGTGACTCCTCTAACTCTTGCAAAGTTTACTGCTGATAGAAATTTTATTCTTAGCCACGTTAACTGTAAGGGTGTTAACTGTGTGGGTAATCAGGAGTGGTATTTCACATTCCAATGGGACTGGGAGGGCGACTACTCTGACACGGTATCTACCTGGAACTACTGTGAACCCTGCAAAAGGAAGAGGCAGTTGTATTGCTTCGAGCGCAAACTCCGTGGGGAGACCTGTTGGATTTAATAAATTAAATATCCATGGTATGATGTGGGTATTAAAGTGTGTTTTGGGTTTCGTTTGTTTTTATTTATAGGGAAAGTTTACCTTCTATTTAATGTTTTTAATTCAAGGTCTATTTATGGTAATGTTGTAGACATTTGTGGTTTTAAGTCCTGTTTATGGTTTGAAGGTCTATTTTTGTAATCGGTGCACTTTTAAGATCCAATTTCAGTACAGATTTGTAGACGTTTGTGTTCCATAGACCTTTGTAGATTGTGTGCATATGTTTTGGATGGTTTTGGGTCCTATGGTTTGACTATGTGTTCTGAAATGGGGAATTGCTGGTTCCTATTCCCGAAGCAATCATTCGTTGAAGATGACATACACCAAAATGCCAAGGAGGTTGCGTGTTGTCAACGCATGTGGGATTATCCTTTCAGTCAGACGGGGTTTGAGCCATCCTTGATCTTCTAAGATACTCTGGTGATTCTTTAATTACGTTTTCACTTTGCCAACATTTCCTGACTTGTCCTACATTTGAAAATATATTTCAAAGATAAAAATTGTTTAAAAAAGAAATCCAAAATTCTATTTTCACTAACATAATGATTTAAATATCGAATTTAAGGGGGGAAATAAGTGTTGGGTTTTTCCCCTTCACATTCGGAATTTGTCATGCAATGTTTACGATTGTTGCAACAACAAAAAAAATACAAAATTCCTTGAGAAGAATAAGTTAAAAACTCCTTGAGAAGTGATTTAAATAGTGTATTTAACCAAAAACTCCTTGAGAAGTATAAGTCAAAACTCCTGACGGAGTATTCATCCCGATACATACTTAGGAATTTTTCCTCCTTTTTTTCTGAATTTCATTGTATTTTTTTATGATTTTCTAAAAAAAAAAAAAAAATAAACACAGAATGCCAAGTGGCGTGAACCGGAAGTGGGGAGCAGCAGACCTCAGCGACACGCGGCGCATTCCCATGCCGTCACACGCCCCTTTTCAAATTTTTTATTCATTTCCAAATAAATATTCATTTAAAAATCTAATTGAAGGGGGAAAAATTTCAAAAAAATCCTCCTCACCCGTGACGACATTTCCTTCCATGAAATATCCAAAAAAAGGCCGCATCATATAAATATCCGTACGGAATTAATGTGATCGAACAAATAAGAGTACAGGGTTTGAAAAGTGTACTAGTGTTTTCATTTGCATCATCCAACACTAGGGTTTGTTCCCTAATTTTATTTTTCCCTCACACCAAAATCTGTTATTCTACTTTCAGTACGAAGTATTCATCCCGATACATACTTAGGAATTTTCCTGTATTTTTTTCGATTTTTTGAAAAAAAAAAAGGAATAAAATACACACAGAATGCCAAGTGGCGAAGCTGCAGACCTCAGCGACACGCGGCGCATTTCCATGATGCCACACGCCCCTTTTCCTTTTAATTTTTGTCTTGCTTATATTTTCATTTGATAAACACCTTTAAGGCTACGGTTTAGGGTAAAAAAATTATTAAAAATTCCCCACAACAATACTTTTTATTTTCCCGCTCATGTATTAGGGTTAAAAATATAAAAAAATATTCAACTTTGGAATTTCCCACTCACGGATTGTCGGGACCAAAAAAGGCGAATTCAAACTTCAAACTCCATATATGTTTCGACCAAATAAGAAAATCCAATTCCTTTTCAGAATCGGAGGAAAATAATTTGGGGGTTTTGAAAAAATATTTGGACGGGTATAATTCTTCTGTTTTCTTCATTTTCAACTGTGGGCAAAACGATGTCGATTTCTTCATCAAACACTGAAGAAAAGAAGTGTCGGCACTGCAATGCTGAGATGGTGAAGCTAATTTCCAAATCCGAAAGGAATCTGGGCAGACTGTATTGGAAGTGCTTCACAACATATGTAAGTACAATCTTCCCAAACCTCGTACGTAAAACCGAATAAGCTATATATAATAAACACTAATCCCAAACTAAAACTGCTCCAGATAAAAGAATATGGTCTGACATTGTAATCCCAGACTGAAAAATGTAGTTTTGTTTTGTTTTGTTTTTTTTTTAATAGGGAGCTACAAGATGTAGTGGCTATGAATGGGTGACAGCAGCCAACACCCCAAATGAATCTGACATTCAAAACTAGGTGGATGTGAAGGAACTTAATGCATATGCTGAAGTAATCCGTATACTGAAGGCCATTCATAAAATCCTCCTATTGCTGTTAGTTCTATCATTTCTGAATTTGGCTGTTAAATTGATGAAAAAGTAAGAAATGTTTTGGGTAAGTGTATGTTTTGTAATTTTGTAATCCGGACAGCTACATATAAGACGTGTTTGGAAATGTAGAAATATAATTACGCCTTCAGTACAATTAGTCAATGACAAACTTCAACATTTCATATGCCTGCATCTTAACTTCACAATCATGTTTGCCCTAAACAAGATACATTACTATTTATTCGACATTTGAAAAGAATCATGCACCCTTTAGGGTTCAGGTTCAACATACTGTCAACAATATGTGTTGAGGGTTTCATACAGCTTGTATTTGAACAAAATACAAAAAATAATTCTTTAATTTTAAGTGAAAAGGGGGAGTTGGATCATAAAGAAGACTTTGTTCCTTAAAAAACAAGAAAACTAACTTTTCAAAACCATACTAAAATAGAAAGGGGAAAGATACGCTCAAGCATGCGAATAAAGCACTTCAAGCTTCCCTTTTATTATTATACAAAGGTTTGTTTTGTAACTCGTGAATACAAGGTCTGTTACCAAAAAAATTGCCCACCTGGTTAAATTAACTTTGCAAGTTCATATACGACACTACACCCACCCAGTTAAAAACTTTGTAAATTATAGTATCTCCTAATGAATCATAGCTACCAATATCCCTGCAACAATTGTACAGCAAGCTTCAACCGATAGAAGGGCATGGCGTCATGGGAAATCTTGGCCAGGTCTACATTCGAGGTCAGAAACTCGCAGTATTTGAGGATGTACATCCCACAGTCGCCCCTGAAACATAGCGAAGAAGCAGTGATTCATTGTACAACAAATCCATTTCATCAGACAATGTGGTTAGGTGGAATATTACTCACCCGCCTACTTTTTGGGGTGCATCCATGACGCGAATAACTGGGGGTGCACTCAATTTTCAGAAGTAGACCGTCGCCAATATATCCAGATTCCTTTAACAACCGGGGCAACATTTTCGCCACCGGCTGCACTGCCCGTTGGATGGCTTGAGTTCTGCACATATCTACTTTTGAATCATATGCCTTTATCTCACACTCTTTTAAATCGACAACAAGTAAGATCCAATGCTTCTGCCTTTGTAGGTTGAAGGGCAAACAAACGCGATTCACAGACAACCATGATTTAGCCAACTTAGGCCTTTCGCCCTTGACCATTCCCAGTAGACCTTTGTTGTGCTACCTGTCCTCCTTTCCCACATACGCCTTCATTTGCTTGTAATCCAAGGCAGCACATTTCTGCATAGTGGCACACGAGTTATGCATCATAACGGAAACCTAATTTGAAAATAAACAATGCTTAAGAAATAATACAGACCTGAAAAGTGGTGTCCAGTATCGTCCAGTCAGAACCTACCCAGTTGCCAGACCTCTTGTGCTACTCCCGTAGCAAAAGCAAGGTCATGTCTATGTTCTACATAGAACAATTGTTTCCATTATTAAATCAATAAATCACTACATAGCATGGGCATTTTGACAAAATCCCACATCAATCAATGCTTACTGAGTCATCCAACCAACCATCCTTAGTCAGCAATCGAACAAAGAAGTTATGTGAACCTTCCATACCATCTTCTCCACATAACCGCACATGTGAACTATATTTGTGAATCATTATTAGTATCAATTCCGTTTCACCATTCACTCAATAACTAATCATAATAATCCATTTACATTTCACTAAGGACGGGCAGTGGGAACTTACTTTTCTTCTTGTCCCCATTCCCAGCAGAATTTCGCAACCTCCAAAAGGGAATCACGAGGAACAGGCCTGATGGGGTCAGCAATTGTGTCCTCCGAAATATTAGGAATCTCCCGACATATCCATGGAGTTTCCCTCACCACTGCCATTCGCCTCTTCATCGCAAGGCCAAGAATCTCACTATTTTCCAAACCACTCTTTTGTCGAACCCCAACTATAACATCTTCGCCACATTCACCCTCAGCAGTGGACATGTCAATCTTTTGAGGAGGATTCGTAAGAAATTTAACAAGGGTGACACACACCACACCTGGATTATCCCAATTTATATCCGAGGGTGTATATTGCACATCTTCTTAACCATTTTGTACACACTGCTCTCTCGATTCGGCTACTTCACCATCCTCAGTTTTATCACTCTCCTCTCCAGCATCCTCATCCTCAGTCTTATTCCTCTCCTCTCCAACATCCTTAGTCATACCTGTACAGCATAGCTCAATCCCTTTATACTCCGTCCAGGTCTGTTAATTCTTTTAGGCTTCTCATCTTCCACGTTTTTCTTCCCTTTTCTCACTGAACTCTGCACCACCTTTTTTCCCTTTTTCTGTCCTTTTCCCTTCTCATTATTCTCTTCATCACTCTCTTTCTTCCCGGGAGCAAACAACAGAGAATCTTGCAAAAACTCAAAAGATATAGATCCCCACGGATAATTGTTGAATTCGTCCATTTTATGAACCAAATGTAAGTACTCCTCGTTTATCTTCACATTTTGGGGTTACATTATCACAAAATACAGCAGTCCCAATTTGAACGAGTCCTCGCTTCCTCTTTCAGACTTTAGGAATGCATTTTCTAAGTCATTGCAAGTAATGTGACCCCTCTTAGTAAAATGCGCTTTCATAAATCGATTATGAGCATCCCCCTTGGACATTATGTCAAGCTCTATTCCACATTTCAGACCACTTATCAAACAAAAATCCTTTACACTGAATTGAGCAACATTGGACCCTATTGCATAACTAAGGCCCAGCATGTCCTTAACACCAAGTCCTCCGACTCACCGGAGTGCCAAAGCATGCACAATTTAACCACTAAATGCATTTTTATGGAGGCCCAACAGGTGCCCAAAACAGCTCTCTCTAAATCTTTTCATAAGCGACTCACTGAAATGTGCCCCAAAATTACACAGGACTGTATTCGCCACTCACAAATTATTCACCCGCGCAGCATAGACCTCTGACTCCGGCAAACAAAGTTCAAACCTAGATTCCATTTTTTAACTGCAACAAACACCTTTTGCTTAAGAAACAGAAGTGATACCTGCTCACAAAATTATGAACACATTAACATATAGAAGTGATACCTACTCACAATATTATCTACACATCTTCATCACATTAAGATACATAATGAATACCTACAAACACTATTTTCAACACATTCACGTACATAATGGATACCTATTAACACTATTTTCAACATATTAAGATGCAACTTGATACATTGTTTTCAACTCATTAACATACATAATTAATACCTACAAACACTATTTTCAAACAGTCAGATACATAATGGATGCCTACTAACACTATTTTTAACATATTAAGATACACAACTGATACACTATTTTCAACTCATTAAGATGCATAATTTTCACCTACAAACACTATTTTCAACACATTCACACACAGAACTGATACCTACCAACACTATTTTCAAAACATTAACATACAGAATTGATACCTACTACAAGATGCATTGATCCTTCTGCATCCCAAATCATCTCATATTCACTGTTAAGATTCAATTTTCTCTTCTACGTTCTACTTCTAATGCTGCTTATTCTTTGTTTTCCAAAACCCAGTAAATCCCTAAAATGATGCCATACACTCACACCACTAGATGGGCAAATTAGGATTACAATGACCAACACATGAAGGTTCCTGGAATTTTAAGAAAATACAACAAGCAAGCACAATGCGAACAAAAATAGGAACAACCAACAGCTGTGAATCTACACTTCAACAAATTACCACAATAAATTGCGATAAAAAGACAACCCAACTTTTGGAAAAAGTAAATAATATTTAAACCGCAAAAATACTTCAAAAATTAGTTACCATGCTTAACAAATTACTAGAAACTAGAAAAAGATGCAAAAAAAACAACTGACGCCAATTTATATTTTTGCAAAAACAACTACTACAAAGACAGACTACTCTTACCCAGAAAATCAATGCCCTAAAATCCTAAACATTATTCAAACATTAAGTGATTTAAACATTAACTGAATGCAATATAACATGCAAACTTTAATATGAATGAAAGAGAGGGAATTCGAGAGAAACGTACTTTCTCAGACGTTTAGATCAGAAATATTAGATGAGGGAGGAAGCGAAAGAGACAGAGTACACCAGGGAGTTTCTGCGACAAGAGAAATACACAAATTTATGTATGATATTTTGGTTGTTTAGGGTTGATTCATAAACTCAAAAATTCATAAATTTATTGACAAGAAAGGTGCGACTGGCCATTGTCAGGAAGAAGAAAGGCGTGTTTTTTCGAAGCAGGCTTGACTTGACACTTGGGCTAAAGGGAACTGCAGCCTACCCGTTTTTACTGTAAGCTTGGTTTTTCTCTTTAGCCGTTCAGATAACCAAATGCCATTTCTCCATTAGCAGCGAGAGAGCCTGAAACGAAAGAAACACAAAGATCAAAGACCCATCTCTGTTTTGCTCAGATTTTAGCATTCTCCGGCCTAAAAACCAAAGGTTTTGAAGAACCCAGTTTATAATGTCCATCGGATTGGTGTCCCAGGTCAAGGAAGTAAGCCAATCAGCGAGTGCCACGTTTTGGTTGTGGGGGGCACTCCTGGAGCCGACCGCACTCAGCCTCCCCTCCAATCTCTCCGAGGCCACGACCCGACTAGCCCATAACTTGACCCATTTCCGCTCCAACTATACCTCGGTCCTCTTGACCGAGCTCTTCCTCAGCCTCCTATACCACCCGGTCTCCATCATCGTCCTCTTGATCATCTTCCTCTACTTCTCACGCGACCAGCCCCTCGAAGTCTTTGGCTTTACTGTGGGAGACCGTGTTGTGATGGTTGTTCTTGGGGTGGTTACGGTGTTGGCTCTCTTCTTGACCCATGTGTGGCTCAACGTCATCGTTTCAGTGGTGATTGGGTCCTTGCACGCCTTGTTTAGGGGCACATACGACCTTGTTATGGATGACCAAGAATCGCCTTATGGGGTTCTGCTCTCGGATGATCATGATTCATGACCCAAGTGGGAATTATGATAACAAACATTACCTTTGGATGATCATCAGATCATGATTCATGACCCAAGTGGGCATGGAGGACCTTGTTTTGGAAGTGTTAGTTGATGAGAAACTGCAACTCAATGGATTGTGTATGATAACAAACATTACCTTTGGATTGATTGTGTTTCTAAATACTTGTTTACAACAGGGAGTATAGGATTTTAATAGATATACTTCAATTTGATTACTCCATTGTCATCAGTGATATTCATCTATTTTTGCTCTTGGTACTAAATTCATTTGAGAATGTATCAAATGTCATTTGCCTCTATTGTGGATTATATATTGTTTGTTCTTTTTTTTTCCTATTTAAATGTTACAAATAAATCTAATGAAGGTATATAAGCGGATCCATATTTGGGTTGGAGTGGGCTCCGGCCCAGTGCTGATTTTACGAGCCGAATCTAAATAAATCAAATAAGCCCACCTCTCAGTAAACCAAATATACTCCCAATGGTTTGATTGACTTTGGAGCATTGTCGTGCAACTTTCGAGAGCCATCAATGAACCAGACTCAAGCATGGCTTTGACAGCTTCCTTGGCTTGTAGCTGTCAATTTTTCCTCACAAACACTCTCTCTCTCTCTCTTACTTCTTTCTCTTTTTCTTTTTCTTCTCTCTTTCTTTCCTTCTTTATTCTCTCTGTTTCTCTTCTTTTTTTCTACATTTCTATATTTTTCTACGTTTATCTGTTTGTCTACGCATTGATGGTGTGAACCACCATGGTTGGAACAACAGCTAAAATAGATCTCCCAAAAAATAAAATAGCCCACCCCTATAAAAATTCCTAAACCTCCTTTATGACCTTAGGACAGCCACTGGGACTCACATCTTATGATCATCAACAAAACTTGACACGTCACTACAAATGCAAACCTAGCAAGACTAAGAGAGATAGCAAACCATAAAGTGTGAGGTGAATCTATGGGACTCGCGTATTTTGAGCTCTAGAATTAACCTTCAAATCCCGTCGTGACAAAAAAAAAGACATAATAACTTGATAATATTGTGAATCTCAAGGACATTTTGTGATAAGATGCAAAGTGTAATTCACTCAAACCAAAATCAGCTAAATTTAACAGCTTGAAATAATTTTTCTAAATGAAATCCTACCACGGTGACAAAATATTAAATGAAAACAAATATGTTATATTATAGATGAATGTAAAACATACATATATGAATAAAAACCTATTTTTTATCAGTTACTGGGAGATCATGGATATGTCCTCATACCTTCTTATCGAATGTAGAACATACACGCATGCATAACTTTGGTAGTCATTTAGAAACTCCTGTCACAGACGTTATGCTATGAAATCGCTTTTTTTTTTCTTTCTATTGTTAGAAAACAAAAATTTATCGAAAGTACGTGACATTAGTCAGTGTGTATAAGTTCTAGATAATCGCATAGTACATATATCATGTACACCCACCAATGGGTATATGGAAATACCATAAAATCCGAAAGCAACAGGGAAAGAGGAAACTAGCTAACCACCTGTGTAGACAAATCGGGTAGGTGGCTAGGGATCCTGGCCAACCCTATGCAAATAATATGAGTAGGGTGGTGAAGAGTATCCTATTAACTGTACCACATGTTGGTACTGCACTATTCTCCACATAGATGTACCTCAAACATAATCCACCAATTCCAATAATATACCGTCAATTCCAAGTACATCCTCGCATAATTTGGGGGACACGAGGTTGCCCTGAGACGCAATACTCGCAGAACTCAAGGGACACATGGTCGACCTGAGATGCATTTCTCGCAGAATTTAGGGATATATGCTCAAATTGAGAATGCAAATCCTCGTAGAACTCAGGGAGATATACTCCGCCTAAGCAAGAAAATAGTTCGTCAATTCCCCTTGCATGACTCAAGGAGATATACTCAACCTGAGAATGCAAATCCTGGCACTACATGGTTCGAGCCTCCTTGATACTCATGGGGCAATGTCATACACATGTAGAGAAGTTCAAAGGCAACTGAGGTGTCCGAAGACAATCCGAAGGCAACCATATGTTCGAAGGCAACTGTATGTCCAAAGACATATTTCTGAAGGCATTAATATTTCTGAGGGCAACAGTATTTTCAAAGGCAACTAGGATGTCCGTAGACATCAATATTTCCGAAGGCAACCAGGATGTCCGCATACATCAATATCTCCGAAGGCAACCATATTTCCAAAAGCAACACAATCCAATTATTAATCCATTTAACACATATATAAAAATAAAATTAGATATATCATGCTTAGAAAGTAAAATCGATAGAACATTAATTCATAAATAGTTAATAAAACTCTCATAAGAAAAGTACCGTTTTGAAATCAAACAACCAAACCACAAACACCTCCCAACCAAAGGGTCTTGATCGGGCCAACGAGGCCCACCAGGTCAATTAGGAATGTGAGGCCCACGACCTCTGATTCCAGATTTGAAAGTTTTTATAAATCTAACAAAGTATACTAAACAAGTCTCAAAGATTTGATCTCAATCGAGTGGTTAGATCTAAGCCAATCGCATGATTGGACGACGGTCATTTCGCTTAAACTTAGAATCATTGACTCGGAGTATCTGGGACTCCGATTCTCAATCAATAAGTTCCTACACGATCTTAGAGGCACAGAGAACAACAACTTTTAAATTGGGACCGATCGAACGGTCCAAACCTATTGAACCCGGATATCGCATGATAGTGCAATATCTGTTGGACTGTCAAATGATAACCAAATCGAAATCTGAGCATACCGTCGTACTCAAGACGACAAGGGAAACAATTTAGAACTCAATGGGCTGCCACACAATGGCCCATGCGCCGCCATCCGCAACGACCAGCAGTGGGTGTCTTGACGAAAAATCTCCAAACCACAGGCCAATACCTATACTAACACATTCAAACTAACAAGGGAAGCAACTTTTGGTCTCGGAACCAGGCCAAAAAGTGGCCGGAAATGGGTTAAAAGGCCCCGTTGGCCCAATATGGGTATTTAAATCATTCTTCAAAACTCCAAAATTAACCCAAAATAACTACATAAACGGATTTCCATACCCCACTAGATAGATTTGGCTGTTGGAATGGCTGGAAAACACCCAAAAACCAGCAGAAAAAGGACAAAGCCACTGGACCTATTTTTCGTTAAAATCATAGAAATCCTTGATGGTTGACGTCAATTAACCATTGGGCTAGGTAGCGGAGGAAGAGATGAACATTTTTCGTTAACGTGGTGTGGCCAACTGGTGCACAACGACATTGATTGGTGGCCGAGAAGTTGAACAGTCACTGTTTGATATAGTGAGTGATTGTTGCGAATGGACCTTCAACTCTAACCTACAAGGAACCCTAACGTTAAAGTTGTCCTTTCACTCTAGAATTTTGAAAATTAAGTTAAATTTCGGGACAGGATGTTGCACGTCTCTCTAATCTCTCTCTCTCTCTCTCTCTCTCTACGCTCTAACAAAGCCCAGCACCATCACCCTAAACCCCCAGACCATATCTTAACTTGATATTCTCCAACTTCAACCAGTCATTTGCTTCCAAATGGTTGGGATATGGATAACGATGATGACAACGACGATAAGGGTGGGTGTGGCTTGCAGTTGCCGTGGTAGTTGGATTGGGTTGTCAAACATAATTCATTTCCCCACTTCTTCAATGTCTTGGATTAGTAAGTTAGAGAGGGGAGAAAGGAGGGGCCACCATGGATGATGATGATGACGATGACGATCAGGGTGTGTGGCTTGCGGTTGCTGTGGTAGTTGGATTGGGTTGTCAAACATAATTAATGTCTTGGATTAGTAAGTTAGAGAGGGGAGAAAGGAGGGGCCACCATCGATGATGATGATGACGACGATAAGGGTGGGTGTGGCTTGTGGTTGCCGTGGTAGTTGGATTGGGTTGTCAAACATAATTCATTTCCCCACTTCTTGAATGTCTTGGACTAGTAAGTTAGAGAGAGGAGAAAGAAGGGGCCACGGGGGTGGAGAGGGGGAGTGGGAGGAGGGGTTGTCGGGTTTCTTTTTTTAAACACTTCAAAAATTGCAAGTTCTTAAAAAAATTGTTTTTAAAAAAAATATTTTTTATTTGGGTTTTAACTTACAAAATTATTAAAATGTCCACGTCATGTCAGCAAATTAACCTGTTACTGTTTAAATTGACGAAATGGGGGCAATGTGAGACACAAAATAATAGCATATGGGGCATATTGACCCAATTACATAGAGTAAACTGAGATTTTCGGTAAAGCACATGGGGCATATCAATAAATAAGCATTTTTTTTTAATGACATTACTATTATAAGAAAGACACAAAACGTTAGTAATTATTTTTCATAATTAGAAGACAAAATTAATAAAATATATTAACGCATGTGTCAATTTTAATTGACATGGCTCAAAAAACATCAGCTACCAAATAACGTGGCCAACTAAATGTGGTCAAAATATTTAGAATGTCATGTTGACGCAGAAAAATGGTTCGGCACTTTCCCGCGCAACTTAGTGATTAAGTCTCTTCGGTATCTGATGTCCTCGGTAGGGTGTGTGATCTGTAAGATAGCAAACACACGGTAAATCCTAGGGCACCGGTGTGGTACCGGCCGAAGGCTCTCCGATGCTTAAGTAAGTACGGATTTAGTAAGTTTTAACTGCAGATCAATAGGCAGTATGCCGTAAGTTCTGATTGATTACCTTCAAGCTGGGACGGACGTCCTCTTTTATAGGCCTTGGGAGGTGTGCAATTTGCTTAGAGTTTCGATGTGGGACTCTGGGCGTCAGTTGTGGGGCTGCCACGTGTCAGAGAGGCGAGATTGCCCTAATGTTGCCATCGGTAGGTCTGGTACCGAAGGCGAGTGCCGAAGGCACACGTAGCCCTGGTTTGGTCCACGTGCTTGGTATTCATTGGCTGTTCATTTTGGTATAAACAGGAGTCCCCCAAGTCCCCTTGCGAGAGTCTTCGGAAGGGGATTTGAAGTTATCTTCGGGAGGAAACACGGCCTTACCGTTCGGTAACCCCACCTGGGGAAGGGGCCAAATTTTGTTCCTTCCGGCATGACCAGCTCAGAGGCTGACGTTGGTGAAGTCAGAAGGTCGCGTCGATCTGACGGGCGAAGGGACGTCTGAGCGCTTCGACTTCCGCGCCTCGCGTGCCGTCAGTTCTCCATAGGGTGAGCGACACGTGGCGAAAGTGATGATGGCGCGCGGCGCATTAATGCGCCGTTTGGTTTTTCGAGGAGTACCGTTGCCAACCACTCCCCCTATAAATAGAGATGACCCCGGAGGCGAACTCACTTTGCATCTGGTGAGAAGTGAGAGCTCTGTCTGAGGCGATTTCCGACGAGGGCTTTCGGTAATCAGGCGATTTCCGGCGTTTCGAACGGTAGGAAAGGCGATTCCCGGCATTGCGAACGGTAGGAAAGGCGATTCCCGGCATTGCGAACGGCAGGAGAGCATCCTGAAGAGCAGATCGTATTTATCTTCCAAGGCACACTTTAAGGTACCGTTCGGCACCCTTCTCTTTAATCTGCTGCATGCCTTAAGGGTTACGTCCTTCCTTGGTTCGAACTAGACTGACCATAGGATTCCATTCGGTAGTCTAGTCGCCATAGGTAGCGATGTAGGGATCGGTAGGATAGCATCGGCATGAGCCTTAGTTTCCCCTTTTCCTGTTTTTGTAGATGTCTGATAGCGAGTCATTTTCCGAGCGCGAGCCCAATGCGTTCGACGAGGAGTCATCGGACGGTCTCTTTGACTCCGACGGTGAAGCGGCAGGGCCTGATGCCGAGGGCGGGAGTGATACCGACGTCGAGATACTCGGCGAAGGGCCCAGCTTCATTCCAACACACGGAGTCGGAAAGGGGCTAATGACCGCTCCCGTCCCATTGTCCATCGTCTACAGTGACGGCCGCCACGTGGGCCTCGGTATGCCCGGGGAGGCGAGCGGTAGCCGTCAATCGGAGACCTCCACTTCCGGCCGTGGAGAGTCGGTAGCCAATCCGCCATCTGGGCCCAGGGTATCGGTAGTGTACCCAAGTAACCCTAGGATGCCTATGGGGGTGCCGAAGGAAAATCTATTCGGCGTAGACTACCTTGGGCCGAACAAGATTACCGATAGGGAGATTGCCAAATTACGAGCAGAATACCGTATTCCCGACTCGGTACGGATGAGGATCCCGGGCCCTACCGAATCCCTTAGTGCGCCGAAGGACGGCGAAGTAGTTTTCTTTACCGACGTCCTTGTGCAAGGCGTTCGGTTGCCGTTGCAGCCGGCGGTGCAGAGGATTCTAGCCCAGATCGGCTATGCCCCGGGGCAATTCAACCAACTTCTGGGTGGCTCTCATGGGAGTGATAACGGCCTTCGGCATGGCTGGCGAAGGGAGCCCCTCCTACGAGCAGTTCTCCCATCTGTACAGCGTTACCAAGTCCAAGTGTGCCGATCATGGCGGGTGGGTGCAGGCGAACTGCCTCAGGGCTGCCGATCGAGGCCACTTCGTTAGCTGGGTACCGACTTCACAGAAGTCGTGGAGGAATCGGCGGGTGCTCCTCTCGGGCGACTTGGAGTCGCCTTCGGGATAGCCCGTCAGATTTCGCATTCCCATAACCTTCCAAATGGCCGGTAGGACCACGTGCCGTTTGGTACCTTCTCTGAGTTATCTGTTTACCGTAAGTAACCCTTCCTTGCTCTTCTTCTTGTTGGCAAGCTGAAGCAGCCGATCGCAACGCAGGCCGAGATTCAGCAGGTGGAGAGAGTGAGGAGGAAAGTCCCTGCCGAGGAGAGGGTGTATCCGCAGTTCCTCTTCACCACCAACTTGATCCGGGCCCAGCTGGTCGATCCTGCCGAGAGTAAGTATACTTCGTAATTTGTCAATTGTTTCTTTTCTTTTGTTGCGGTTCTTACCGATCCCTTTTCTCGCAGTGACGGAAGACAGGAGGGCTGCCGAGGCTAAAAGGATGAACGAGTCCTCCAAGCGCCGTCTCATGATGGGCTTCCAGGGGAAGAAGAAGAAGACCCAGCCGCAGGGCTCGGCATCGGTAGACCCCGAGGACCAGACCTTGGCCGACCGCCTCCGTGAACTCAATGTGGCACAGGCCGGAGCGGCAGCGGCCTGCCCTTCTCCCCGCCAAGGCGCCACTACCGAAGGAGCTTCCTCCCGAGCGGCCGGCAAACGGCCCTTCACCGTCGACCTGGATGCCGAACCGGCCCCAAAACGAGGACGGCAGGCCGAGCCAACTCGGGCTATCTTCGCTGCTGAAAATGACGAGGAGCCTGCCGATCCCGTCACCCTGGCCTGTCCGTCGAAGACGGTCCAGTTCGCGAACCACATGATCATTGGTTCGCAAATGGAGCTGAACGAGATCGAGGAGCTGCCGAAGAAGCTCCTCCGAGAGGAGGCGGGTCGCGCCTTCCGTCTTCAGGCATCGGTAAGTCCAAAACATTTTTAGGTCCAGGTTACCGATCATTCTTGTAGCTTTCGCTGACATGCCCTTTATTCTGCAGGCTTCGATGGATATGTGGCTTTGCATGAAGCGGGCCATCAACGCGGCTGAGAAGGCGAAGAAGGCCTATGACGACGGCAGGGCCAGGGTTGCCGAGGCTGGCAAGGCTATCCAGGACCATGCGAACCTGGTGAAGGATTTGCAAGCTGCCGAACGGCAGGTCAGGGTATATGAGTCCAAGTTCGCAGATCTGTCGTCTGCCCTGGAGTCGGCACAGTTGTCGGCCAAAAAGGCTCTGGAGGCAAAGGAGGCCGTTGAGGTGGCTCTGGAGGAGTCGGAACGGGCCAAAGCGGCGGAGATTGAGGCTGCCGTCCAGGAGGCCATTCGGAAGTATCGCCACTCTACCGATTTCTCTACCTTGCTCGACAAGGAGGTGGGCTCGGAGATGGTAGATCTCATCTACCGATTCAAGCGGTACAATCCTGGGACGAAGCTCACCTGAACTTCATTGCCGATCCTCCTCCCCTTCCCGAAGGCGTCACAGAAGAAATGATCGAAGAGTACGAGGGAGAGGACGCTCCGGAGGAAACCGAAGTTGCTGGTGCCGAAGGGGCGGATGCCGAGGGCCTTTCATCCTGATTGCCGGTCTTTATTCAATGCAATTTTAATGCCGATGGCATTTTTGTAATTTCCTTGTGACTTTTATGCCGTTTGGCATCTTTTGTTTGGATGATCAATGCCGTAGGCATGTTTTAATTAAAGTTATGTTTTCTCTTTAAGTTTCTTGCATCTTACTTCTGAATCGGTAGCGTTTTTAGGAAATTTTTCTGTTTAATGCCAAAGGCTTTCAGACAAAGGTCGTTGACCGTTGCCCAGTGACGTTTCCTTTCAAGCACAAGTTCCAAGTGTTAGGGATTGAAACCAATGGTCGTGCTTGCCGATTGTAAAGCAATGGCCCGTAGTTACCGAAAGCCTATAATGCCCAATAAAGTCTGCCAAGTTGCTTTTTTTTTTTTTTTTTTTTTTTTTTTTTTTTTTTTTTTTTTTTTTTTTTTTTTTTTTTTTTTTTTTTTTTTTTTTTTTTTTTTTTTTTTTTTTTTTTTTTTTTTTTTTTTTTTTTTTTTTTTTTTTTTTTTTTTTTTTTTTTTTTTTTTTTTTTTTTTTTTTTTTTTTTTTTTTTTTTTTTTTTTTTTTTTTTTTTTTTTTTTTTTTTTTTTTTTTTTTTTTTTTTTTTTTTTTTTTTTTTTTTTTTTTTTTTTTTTTTTTTTTTTTTTTTTTTTTTTTTTTTTTTTTTTTTTTTTTTTTTTTTTTTTTTTTTTTTTTTTTTTTTTTTTTTTTTTTTTTTTTTTTTTTTTTTTTTTTTTTTTTTTTTTTTTTTTTTTTTTTTTTTTTTCACCATCTAAAAACTATTAGCTGCCGCATCATCCTCCTAAAAAAAGTGAGATGAGGCATGGTGGTAGCTCAATTACACAATCACTCTCTCCAGCTCCTCCCATCTTGAACCTCTTATTCTTATACAAAAGTACTTGTTTTTCTTCCATCAATTGCAACATCTTCACCAATTTTGATCCTTTTATTCTTATAAAAGTTCTTTTTGTTTTTGTTTTTTTTTGTTCTTGCGTTCGGAGTTATCTACAAGAACCATCGTTCTTAGATCCATTTAAATTGCTTTTCATATGCACGCCAGGAAAGACATTTGAACAAATTTGTGGATGCACAGTTGCAGTATATTGCATTCGGACTGTTAAATAATGGGAGTCCCCTTTGTTTCACTTCACTTGGTATAACTAAATTTTCTTAGATGTGCATACCTTTGTAAATCTCATAAACTGAAGAACATGAGACACAAATTCAATACAGTTTCATTCGGCATAGCCTATAACAATAACTAATACTTTCTTTAAATTAAAATAATATATATAAAAACTGTAAAAAAAAAAAACTAAAAAAAAAACTAAAAAGGAAACTGGTACTTATGGCTGATTGTCATAGAACTTGTCAATGATCAAATGCAATTCATATATAACAGATGAAAAATTAATTACTTTCCCAATCAGGGATTTTGTTCATATTATATGGTCAAAACTCAACTTATCCTGTTATGCAGAACATATTTTCAGCACCTAAACTAAGTTCGCATTGGAAAATGAGAACAACAAAACCCGAATCCCCAAAATCTCATATAACACGGATCAAGGAAGCATTTTCTCTAGCCGCAGCTGCTCAATTTTGATCTGGGTACATACAGTATGAGAAACTCCATAAACTACATCCTTTTCGTTGATTGCTTAGAGGGGTTTTGGATACTTCATCCTGATAGGGCCTCAACTCAAGCTTTGCCTTGACGGATATTAGACAGTGCTGACATCCACACGGCTTCTATGAAGCTGGAAGGCAGGAGTGATCCAATTCCCGCAACTGCATTGGCTGCCTGACCAATTGAAGTAACCCAAGCGAGCTTCACAATGTGCACATGACAACTTGCCCTCCAGTGCTCCATCTTCAACTGCGAAATGAGAAAACATATGAAAGATTAAATTATGTCGTGTTTCTATGACAAATCACATTGAACAAAAGATGCCTCCACATGAAATTACTTCTACTTCATTCAAGTTAAGGTATAAGGAAACCAAAATCGGCTGAAGAAAAATAAAGAAAGGAAAAGACCAAGAAAAGCCCTATAGGTTCAGAAATAGGAATGTGAAAAGGATGTGGATTCTGTCTGAGTATATTCGACACTTTTTTCAATGTTTCAAATTCCATCATTTGTCAACACACTGGATTAATTGGTCAACAAGAAAAATCAATTCGCAGCTGACATGTAATCTCAAGTGACAATTTGATCATATAATAACCCAGTTAAACAACTGTAGAGCATTTATAAATATGAAATAACAATCAAATCAAAGAACCCAAGGAAACTTTTTTTGACAAGGGAGCACTTTCGCATGATTAACTATTACTGCAATGAAAAAGGTAAGCCATACAGTTATAAATATGGCACAGTTACCTGCTGTCATCCACCTTAGGGGCTCAACAAAAATGGATGAACATTCAGAACCCTCAGACAAGTTGCTACTTTTTCGCTTTCGCCACTCAAACGATTTCCCACCCATGCCTGGAATGTGATCCACAACATTGTCCTGCAATGCAACAATTCTTCGGCATTTCTTGCAGCGGAATGCTGGTGTACCAGTTTTTCCTCCATTTTGAGCTGTTTTTACTCCAGAGGCAACTTCGCTAGGCAACCCAGGATCTGCCCCAAATTTAGAATTGTCTATTTTATCCCCATGACGATAAGATTCACCTGAAAGTATGGATAAAATATTTCTATTATAGCAGGGAAAACAGAAATTCACATTTGCCACTCAATTTGAAACCTCCAGTGAAAATGAGTAGGCATAACTTATAATATCTCCTATTCTGGGACGAACAACTTTTCACATAGTAATAAACATCAAGAACATTTGCCATGCAGTTGCAACACCCTTCACAGTTGTCTGGTAAGCATTTCTTTTTCTTTTTCTTTTTCTCTTCTGCTAAAATGTTATGTAAGGTAGAGGAGAATGACAAACAATTTAAAAAACAGATTGGGAGGTACAGTTCATGGATACCGTAGCAGCATTGTAGCAATTTTTTTGTTTTAGTTTCCCCAAGCTAATTTGACAAGTGAGATTATTTTTATTCTGAGGGCTACAATTTAACTCTATAGGGTTTTCTCGAGATTCTATCATGTATAAATGGAGTGAACTAAATTGAGACAATCTTGTTTTTGGAATTCTAAACCTTTGGCATTTTTGAGTTCCTTTCAGAATGTTGGAAGCTTCGCTTAGGGATTTCTCATAATCCAGCAGTGTCTTCATGCTCAATCCAAACCCTCTCGCTTCTCAAAATAACATTCTTTGAGGCAATAACCCACCAAAAGCTGAACCAACCATCTCACATCCTACTTCAATGCTATACAACCAATTTGGTAACCAATGGCTCCTTAATACCTTCCTATCAATGAATTTTACATATAATCCTAGGCACACCAACTCATATACAAACTGATGTGGTAGTACTTCATTTGTTTAAATTTGAGCCTCATTTATTTACAAACAGCAAGCGACTATCATATTAGGCCATCTCTAGTCTCCATGTCCCATGGAGCACTTTCATCATCTTGTATTCTACCAAAACATGAATGCAAGATGTTCAATTAATACCAATAAATTTAGACACGGCGCGGGGGGAGGAGGGGGAGAAGAAAAAAAAAAAACTGTACCCAATACTTTCAGGTGAAAAGACTTATATATGGGGCTGGCACGATCAACCTTGAAGCCCATTTCCTCGTACATTTTGAGCTGCAACACGAGAAAAGAAAAGAGTAAAATTCACTATGGGCTGGCTTAGCAGAAAGTAATATAACCTTGTACAAGATGCTACATAAGAGTGCCTTGAATCACCTGATCTAGAAAACCATCATTGGGGCAAACAAACTCACAGCTTTGCCTCAGGGATCCTAGTGCATCTGTAGGATTGCATAGGAGGAAGATAAAGACTAAAGCAGTTAAGCATTTGCAACTCTGCCTTTTCTTCAATTCAATTTCTCAGGAATTCATATATTTTAAAGGGTGATGATTTTGGCACTCCAACTATCACCTCCCACACGCCTCTACTCTCTCACACAAGAGGACCATATGAGTTTCGCACTCCTCTTGTGAGAGAGTAAAGTAGTGTGGAAGGCGACATTTGGAGTGTCAAAATTATCTTCCATTTTTAAAGTCATACAAGCTTGTGAAACTAATTTTTATCTGAACTGAAGAAACAAAAGCAGCTATTTGGATTCCAAAAATATAACAGCAACTTGTAGTTATATACGAAGACTGGCGATACTTAAAACAAGCAATGATTTGTTCACACCTTCTTGTGATAAATGCTCTGTTCTCATCAGATATGCTGTAATGATAGATGCACTGCAACAAACAAATGCAAACAAGGGTGTAAACACTTTAAACTTGACAATTCAGAAAACTTAAAAAGCTATCAGAATGTAAGCCTGTTCCGAATAATTTCGACATTATTAATAGACTCTTGTTATTCTAAAAACTAAAAATCATGAACTGAGAAAGCAATATGTACCTTCTGGAAACACCAGCAAAGCAATGCACCAAAACAGAGCCCTTTTTCCTACCCTTATCAATAAAATCCACACACGCATCCAAATAATCCAATAAATTCTCATCGTCCATATCTCTTAGCGGAACCCCCATCCTCTCCAGCTTCAAATCCTTGCCTGCACGTTCCAACGAGTACGAAATCTTATCGGAAAGCAAATAAGTTTTCGACCCATCACCAACAGAAGTTGACCCACCAACAGACCCGCCAGCATAGACCTTCTTGATTTCCTTTGTGGGAATTGCACAGAGAATATGTGTGATCTTTTTGCTGCCATTTCGGATAACCTCTGCCGCATCGCCGATGTTGCCGAGGAATAGATTCTCACGAACAAGATACGGCATGATCACTGAAAAATATTTGAATTTTTCCTAAACCCAAGATTATCAAAGCAATTTACAGAGATTACAAGAGTGCTCTATAAGTCAGTCTTGCTTGACAAGAAATCCTATTTATACCGCGAATAAAAAAGTATTTACACCGTCAATAAAAAAGGAAACAAGATAATAAAACACCAAGAAATCCTTGTTCTTTACCTTTATTTAGTTGAGAGAGGGGGGGGGGGGGGGGGGATTCAATATTATTCCCAATATAGGGGCCAAATTATATAAAAAAATTTACAACATAACAAAGAGACTTTTAACTTCTTATAAATTACAAAAATACCCTCGATTTTTAAAACAAACCTAACCCTAAAACCTCATTAAAAAAAAACTTAAAAAACTAGGGCATCTAAGTAATTTAATAATCAAAATTAAATTCAATAGGTCCAACTGTCATTTTTTGAGCTTTTTTTTGTTGGTTTGTTTATAGACATTAAATGGTGTAGGGTTTATCTACATTATTAGTGCTAAGAATAGGTATATGACTATTTGACCAAAAAAAGAAGAAAAAAAGAATAGGTATATGACCAAGGGCTAGTTTGACATTGTTGTGCTGTAAAAATAATCGCTGTTAGATTTGTTGTGAGAGAAAGCAGTTTAACAAACATTTTTTTAACAATAAGTAATTTTCTCATAGTACCGAAGGGGCTGGGCTTCCTAAATTTTTAAAAAAAATCACTTATCACCCTAAATAAGCAATGCCAAACAGCTACTAAATATCTCAAAAATTATCCTATAAAGGTGAGCATGTGACATTACTTTTACAAAACCAGAAATTGATAAGCTGCCTAAACCCTTATTGTACCCCCATAGAAATTTGGAACAATTAGCCAAGTTTATAACAAAATACACAACAACAACAAAACAAATATATGGAAAAAAAAGTTGGAAGACCAAATAAAAATTAGGAAGAATGTGTGTTTTTTGTTGTTGTTGTGATTTTCTTAACCAATAAAAATAACAACAGCTTATAGATGAATTTTTAGTGCTTACAGGTAGAATCTTAGCTTGGCATGAGAGGCTTGTGGCATGGGAGCAAAGTTGTCATGATTTTAGCCTTAAAAGGAAAGAGCTGTGAGTTTCTATGAAAAACAAGGGTTCTAAGGAAAAGGAGGAAAGGATTATCAGAGGTTTTGGCTGAGAAGAGGAGAGAGGCTAGGCAATGGGTGGCTTAAGTGTTTTTCCGGCAGCTCGACAAAGGTTCTGTCAAATATCAGAACGATCTGCCAAGAGGAAAAACAAGGGGGAGAAGGATGAACTGAGCACGAAATTGCTGGGTTTTGGAGGTAAGAGAGGAAGCTTGTTCTCTGGATGTGGTTGATGGTTGTTGGGTAGGAGGTGCTTCATTTATAGCCGCTGGAAGCTCCTCCTTCCCAAGAACCCCTCTTGGTTTCTATCCAATTTGGCCAAATCTTTCCATTCCTTTCCCCTCTCCTCCCTTGACTTTTCCCATCTTGGTGAAATATTCTCTGCCCATTTGCACAAAATTAGGAATTTTTGGGTTTTCAAGGCCCTTTCTCTCAGCTGTCTCAGTGGGAGACTCCCATTCTCAGCTATTTCCCTTTTTCTTTCCTTCCTCCTTTCATGGCTAGATCTGATGAAGGAAAGAAAATAGGTATACATGCTGGTTTGAAGGGTGCCTCTCCTCCTGGTAGCCTGCGCATTAAAATCCTTTAGTCCTTCAGATGTTTTTTGCTTGAAACTTGTTCTTTCCCATGTGCTGGAGCTTTCCAACAACTCTGCGCATGTGGACCCCCAAGCTCCCTATGTGGCTTTGTTCTTCAGCCATGTGCTGGGGCTTTTGCTGCTTCTAAGACAACAAGTTAATTCATCAAACAAATGGGCTAACCTTATCAAGGGTTAGGCTATTTTGGTTCAGTTAATGGGCTGTTTTGGCTAAGGTAATGGGCTATCTTCTCCTTTGTGCTCACCCACATGTTTGGGCCTAAGAAATGGGCTTAAGTTCCGAGGCTCCCAAGCAACTCGGAACCTCTATTTCTCGGCCCATCAATGGGCCTCATGACAACTTATTACCATCCATACCACAATCCACTCAAGCAAGCCCCGGGCATTCGAGTGGCTTGGGCCCATTAGGCTTGTTGCGTGGTTGGGTGTGCAATAATGATTTCCTGCTTGACATGCTTTTAATTATGATGCTTGACGAGATAATTAACATGGATTTACAGAGTTAATGCATTTTATAATCTTAATCTCGATTCCTAACATGACGGATTATTTATTTGGCATGGCACGTGGAGTGTGACTCGTGCATGACAGACTTTTGCGTGCTCCAAATTGGGTCTTTTCTCAATGATGTGTCGTATTGGGCCAAGAATTTATTTGGGCCCAACCGTTAATTTTTTGGGCCTCAACAGCTATCAACTCCAAAGGTTGGATAGTACTGAGGAGTGCTTCATTTTCTTTAGAGATTGTAGGTAGAGGGAGAAAGAAACATGGCTCCGTTCACTATCCTACAATATGCCTTGGTTTGTAAAGAGAAGGCTTCATCAAGCTCCCTGGCATTGGAAAAAGTTGACTGATTTTAGAGCCAAAATTCACGCTAGTATTAGCTTTTCTTGTTTATCTAGCTAGGATCGCTTCTTTGGTGGGGTTCATACTAACAAGAGGTGTGAGTATGGAGTGGAGGCGTACAATCCTCAATTTTTCAGTAGAAAGTTTGGGCTTGTTCAGGCTATTCCAGAATTGAAGTATAATTCTGTGAATAAGGGGAGTTCTTGGTGGAATCTGAGCATGACTCCTTAAGATATTAAGGCTGTAAGAAAGTCCTAGAGGAACATGAGCAATAATGTGAGGATGCCTCCCTACGATCCATCACCTCTCTGTACCCCAGCCTTTCATGATTTCTTGGAAAACTAGCTGTTCTTTTGGCTCCCTGAATCTGCCAAACTTTTTTACACTTTGGCTTTCAAGGATTGTCCTTTTGCCAGATTGATGACAAAACAGGAAGAGGCATATATGATGAGGAAGTTAAAACGTCTTCAAGGAATGGAGGTGATAGGCAACTTTCTAAACCTCAATAATTGACCATTGGCTTAAATATGGTATACCATATTCTAACAATCTGGATTGTTTTTGGTGTTTGATAGAAACCTTCTTAGGTGGACCGAGTGGCCTTGAGGATGTTGGTAAGGTTCTTACCAAAATTTTGATTCCTTTTTATTTGAAAGAAGCTGATTCTATTTCTCCTGTTCACAGGTCGAGGCAATGCTCCATCTTCTGGTGGCATTCTTCTGGAAGATGAGAGAATAGAAAGAACTTTAGCTTCACCCATCCCTTCTCGACCTTCTGCTTCGAATCCGACTCCCAAAGATAAAGGGAAGGCTCATCTGATAAAGGATGATGATGATGAAGAAGAGGTACCACTTCAGAGAAACCAAAGAGCCTCTGCTCCCCTAACTCCAGATGTCAATCCTGAATCGGCCCTTGAAGATGGTAGAATTCTCCTTTCAGGCCTATTTCGTTCAGTATTCGGAGGAGGTTCCCGAGGATTAACATGTATATCTTTGCAATTTCAGAAACTTGTGAAAAAAGATCAATGAGGGATTCACCTTTTAGGGATGAGAGAATGCCCAAGATGGGTGCTGCGCCAGTGACTCGGGTTTGTCTTGAACCCTATGCTTAAAAAAGAGTTCCCTCTTTTCCTTGTATTTTCTAACAATAAGTGCTCATCTTTACAGAGACCAGGGAAAGAAATAGCTTTGGGACCTTCTACCAGGGACAGAAGGTTCCAGCAGATTCATTTGAAGGTGAAGACTATAAAGCTAGACGAGGGGGAAGATCTTCCATCTTTTGAGCCGCAATCGGGCCTAAACGCAACTGCTGAAGGGCGTGTTGTTGGGAGGAGGCTTCCTGTTTTTCCAGAATCAAGCGTGCCTAGTGCTTTTGGGCCTAAGTTTGAGAGTGCTGTTAACCTTACAAGTGCAGAAGGCAAGCAGATTATTGGAGGTTTGAGAAAGCCTGATGAAGCACTTGGTGCCGTGGTGGACAAGCTCAGGGCTCTTTGTGCTAGAGATATGCCATAGAAACCAATATAAAATGGATATTTCTAAGAAAATAATATATAATAATCAAAAGGGCAAGAACATTGCTTTAGATACATAATGTACACAAAGTAACACGTCCATGGATTAAGATATAAATGGAAAGTAGTCTAAAGAAGTTAAATGCACGAGACCTTTCTATACATAAAAATATTTATCCTAAAATATTCCTTGTCATAGGATCACCAATTGGACAATGGTGACCCACAAAGACTAGTACACATTATGTCTGCTCAATTGGGAGGATGACTAGACTTAAGTAATTCGTGTAGAGACACTGAGACAGATGTATAGGTGCTCTATAGAAGATGGATTCCACTGAACACGATCAACTCTAGAATTCTTGTATGGAAGTCTTACTCACAAGTGTGAAACAAAAAATTCTAAGTTGTGATAATGAAAATTAATCCTTATACTTGGGACATCACAGTTGTCTTGTGTATATTTTGTTTCTCTTTGAGGGCACTATACGGTCGTATCAAAATGATATGACTTAAAAGTGTTCTTCAGGATTCTTAGTGTGTACGCAAAGACACGTGAATGTACAACAATGAATCTTTGCACTTAGTAAGAAGAGAGAATACTCTAAAGACATGATTCGTGAATCTTTGGCCAAAGTATTAGATGAAAATTGAAACAAGAACGTTTGCAATTTCATCAAATTGAATCATATAATCTAGAGATGTGATATTAGGAATTTTGACACAAGTTTACCATATCCTGAGAATATGACATATAGTATTGAATTAGAAAAGGATCGAATTGCATTGTAATCACAAACTGACTAGGTTCTCTAAATGAATTTTTTTTAGCTTGGATAGCCATGACATACTGTTAGGTGTCACTCATGGCTTGGGGAAGTCCTATAATGACTAATTATAATTAGCCTTCGCCAATAGGGAGAATTGTATGGAGGGATACAATTCACACTTGATTTAGAGTGAATCATTCATACCTACTGCCTTGCTAATTAGAACCTATAAGATCGCACATTGAAAAGGAATCAATTAGGAAATTATAAAGAGAGTGAATGATTTTGTGACTTGGTCAAAGTCAATGCAAAAGTCAAAGGTCAAAGGTCAAACAGTTGATCCAACACTTGACATGGTCAACTAAGGATGACCGGGACCAACACTCATTAGACAAGTGAGTGCTTGAATTAGTCAAGTCACTAAAGTAATTAAATTGATTAGATTAATTTAATTATTCAATTAAAGTTATGAAACTTTAATTACAGGTCCCATGTGACTTGGAAATTCAAAAAGAATTTGACCATATGGACTTAGGCAAATTAGTGACACATTATAAGATTAATGTGTTAGATCAAGATAGCAAAAGATGACACACAAAGGGGGGGTGTGGCTACACTAGGGTTTGGGGGCATTTTGGTCACTCTAATGACATTTTTGATCCTATAAGTGTGTAGCTATGGAATTCTGTCATCCTAGGGTTTTCAGGTTGGTGAAATTGGAAGAGAGAAAACAACAAGCTCTCTCTCCCTAACCCCTTCAATCTATCACATCAAGTGAGGTGCTAGCACCACTCTGTACTTGTTGTCTACTCATTCTCTCATCCCATTCAATCCTTGGTGAAGATCTTTGGGGAGGTGCATAACTTTGTACCTATTTGGAGAGCTATAAGGTGGAGAATCAAGATCAAAGGGCACTACTACAAAAAAGGAAAAACACGACGGTAAATCACCGTCGTGTATTATGTTTTCAAATGGTCGTGGAATCCACCGACATCTTTTCCATAACCAAACCACGACGGTGAATAACCGTCGTTGTTAAAACAAAAAACGTCATCAAAAAATAAAAACCGACGTCTTTGTGCTGCAAAAAGACATAAAAAAAGGGTCGAGGATGAGAATAGACGACCAACTCCAACAAAAAAACGTCGTTAAAAAGGAAACAGATGACATATATTAACAGAACATGGCCGCAAGATAAACATACAACGACGAGAACTTAAACTTGACGCCGTTAAACAAATATTTAACGACAAATATAAATACGACGTCTTTACAATAATAATAGACGACGTTATTGACACCTACTACGTCACAACATTTCCCACAACCGTCGTAAAATAAATTTTCCACTTCGATTTTTCTATGAATTATGACGTGGAAATAGATCTCAGGGTCATTACTTACGACGCATGTATTTACAGAGACGACGTTGAATTGATAAATAACGTCGGTTTCAAATAAATGAGAGCCGTATTACAGAATTTATACGTCATATTTTGAAAATAAACGACGTGGAAAAAATGATGGGGTCATTAATTACGACACAGTAATTTATAAGGACGACGTTGTCGTCTATATACAACGTCGGTACCATGAAAAAGACCGTCGTGTTTAATAATTTATACGTCTTCATTTAAAAAATTGACGTCGTCTAATGCATATATCTTAACGTCGACAAGTTTAATGGACTTCAAATACCGTCGTAAAATAAATTTTCCACTTCGATTTTTCTACGAATTATGACGTGGAAATAGATGTCAGGTTCATTAATTACGACGTATGTATTTACTGAGACGACGTTGAAATGAATAAACAACGTCGGTTCCAAATAAATGAGAGCCGTATTACAGAATTTATGCGTCATATTTTGAAAATAAACGACGTGGAAAAAATGATGGGGTCATTAATTACGACACAGTAATTTATGAGGACGACGTTGTCGTTTATATACAACGTCGGTACCATGAAAAAGACCGTCGTGTTTAATAATTTATACGTCTTTATTAAAAAATTAACGTCGTCTAATTCATAAATCTTAACGTCGACAAATTTAATGGATTTCAAATACCGTCGTGAATTCATCCTTTTCCACTTCGTTTATGAAAGAACATGCGACGTGGTAAATTCATGACGACGTCGTCTTTTGTAACGTTCAGGTTAAAGTTCTCGTCTTTTAGACGTCGGTGTTATGGGATTGGAGACGTGTTATATTGAATTACATGGCGGTTCTTTATCAAAACCGTCGTGTTTGTAATCTGGAACCAGTAATTTTTGTACTGATTGTTTTGTGGCCAAAACCTGTATAATGAAAGTGAAGAAATCACATTACAATATATTACAAAATTAATGTCATACACTGCCAATTACATAAAGCATCATTCAACCCATATATCTTCACACCCATCTCGAATATTTTGACTCCCTAACTCAACCACCACTTCATCAAATGTGTCAACATTTGGCATCCCCCTAGTAAATGGCTCACACTCAATTCTCACATCACCTAAGACATCATCACCAATAACATCATTATATTCTCTATTAGGCATTGATAACACTACCGACCAACCACGATGCATCGGGTCGTCAACAAAAAATACTTGTTTGACTTGAGAAGCCAAAACAAATTGGTCATTCCTATGTCCAATTTTACTCAAATCTACAAGGGTAAATCCAAGTTCGTCCACTACAAGACCAGAAGTATTATCAATCCAATCACACCTAAAGACTGGGATTGTAAACTTTTGGTAGTCAAGGTCCCAAATTTCTTGAATGACACCATAGAAACCCATATTTGAGAGAATTGGGTTTTTATCCTTGGCACTAGCAACTTGCATAGTATGTGCAAGTAAATAAACTCCACTATTTTGAGTTGTCCGCACATCATCTTGTGCCTTGATGTTGAATTTAATACCTTTAATGAGATAGCTCCTATATAATGGCACTGCCATGTTTGGACCAGCTGCTAGCCACCTTAAATTTTCTGATACGCCATGATTGTCTTCCTCATTAAGTTCACTTTGAACCTGCAAATTAATCATAACTTAATTCAATCTAACACAGGAAGAAGAAAATTAAAAGTCCAATATGTTATTCAATAACTATACCTTGAAGCGTAGCCATTGAATGAAAGTGCTATTGTGCTTATCCTGCAGCCACTTTGTTCTCTTTCTAAATTTTGGATAAGCGGTCTGGATGTGGATCATATGTTGCCTACATGACACACAAAATTCAAGTATTACGATCCCAAACATATAAGATAAACATAAGAAATAATTTAAAATGGAAACTTAAAGAATAAAACTCATACGTACTCGATATAAGGTAGGACTTCCTCCGTATTCTCCAAGACATATAGATGTGCTTGGTTCAACAGGTCCCGATCAACTACGCTCACTGTGCAACCTGATAATGGCTTTGAAACTCCCATCTTTTGGCTTGAAGGCACTCCAACTGTACTAACATCAGATAAATGCTCGGTACAAAACTCTACAGCTTCTTCAGCTATATACCGCTCAGCAATGCAACCTTCGGGACGAGTACGATTCTGAACATACCCCTTTAGCACTTTCATATATCTTTCAAACGGATACATCCATCTAAAATATACTGGCCCACACAGACGAACTTCTCTGACAAGATGTACTACTAGATGAACCATGATATCAAAGAATGAAGGGGGAAAGTACTTCTCAAGCAAACACAAAGTAACTACTACATCTTCTTCCAACTTATCTAGCTTGGAAACATCAACAGTCTTTGCACATATAGCATTGAAGAAGAAGCACAAACGAGTTATTGCATACCTTGCAGGCTTCTCCAAAACAGAACGAATTGCCACAGGGAGCAATTGTTGCATTAAGGTATGACAATCATGTGATTTAAGGCCAAGAAGTCTTGAATCTTGTAAAGATACAAGATTTTTTATATTTGAAGAATAACCTTCAGGGACCTTCATACCATAGAAAGAATTGCAAACCTCTCTCTTCTCTGCTCTTGACAAATTCCAAGGCCCGGGAGGCAAACGAGTACGTCTTTCTCCATACTCGGGTTGCAAATCAGTTTTGACCCCCATGTTCAATAAATCTAATCGAGCAGCAATCCCATCTTTATTTTTTCCAGGGATCTCCAGCAATGTACCAATGATACTATCGCAAACGTTCTTCTCAATGTGCATAACATCTAGGACATGCCTCACAGGAAGGTATTTCCAATACTCGAGATCAAAGAATATTGATTTCTTCTTCCAACAAACTCTGTCACCATCTTCAACCATATGCAGCACTTCTTCTCCGGTTAATGGCTCAGGAGGCGTGCCATATTCAGGTTTCCCATTAAAAGCTGCACGTTGCCTCCTATATGGATGATTGATCGGTAACCATTTTCTATGCCCAATGTAACAAATTTTGTGGCCATTTTTCAACCTGTGACTAGGTGTATCATCGCCGCATATTGGACAAGCTTTATATCCTTTAACAACACAACCAGATAAGTTTCCATAGGCGGGGAAATCATTAATTGTCCACATTAATGCAGCTCTGAGTGTAAAGTATTCTCCATTATGTGCATCATACACTCCTCCAATCCCATCCCACAAAGATTTTAAATCATCAATCAAAGGCTCCAAGTAGACGTCTATATCATTTCCGGGCTGTTTAGGACCGGAAATCAATAAGGTCAACATCATGAACTTTCGTTTCATGCACAGCCATGGAGGGAGATTATATGTAACTAAGATAACTGGCCAGCAACTATATCTGCTACTTAGAGAACTGTGGGGATTGAATCCATCAGATGAAAGAGCCAATCTCAAGTTTCTCGGCTCATTACCAAACTCGGGCCATTTATCATCAAGAAGTTTCCAAGACGGGGAATCCGCTGGATGAGACATATAACCGTCAATTGATTTTCTAGCAGCATGCCAAGTCAAACTCTTAGCGGTCTCATGTGATCGAAACATCCTTTTAAACCTTGGAATTGGAGGAAAATACCACACCACCTTCGCTGGCACACCCTCTTTCAAGATTGAATCTTTGCCTTCCTTCCACCTTGAGATACCACAATTAGGACAATGAGTTAAATCCTCATACTCCTTCCTATACAAGATGCAATCATTGGGGCATGCGTGCATTTTCTCATAACTCAGCCCCAATGCACACAAAGTCTTTTTGCCTCATACATAGAGGCCGGTATTGTATTTCCGTCTGGAAGCAAATCGCCTTGAAGTATCAATAATTCTGTAAAACAGACATCACTCATCCCATATTTTGCCTTCAAATTATACAACTTCACTAATGCCGATAACTTCGTGTACTTTCTACAACCAGGGTACAATGGTTGATCTCCATCCCCAATCACATTGGCAAACTCATAAGGATCAGATCCAAAATCACCAAAATCATTATCATCCATCTCTATTTCTTCAGACACAAAACTGTACCTACTATGGTCATCATCTTCTTCAACATTTCTACTAGCATTAGTAGCTGCTTCCCAAGGTTCTCCGTGAAATGTCCAATTCTTATAGCTTTGGTCAACTCCATTAAAGTATAAGTGATCCCTTATAATTCCAACCCCAAACAATTTCAAATTAACACATTTAACACATGGACAACGGATATGTGTGGTAGTTAGAAGATTTTCTACAGAAAAGTTCAAAAATGCTTCCACCCCTAACTCATATGCCTTCGATCTTCTATCCGAGTGCATCCATGACTTATCCATCTCCGACACTATACCCTATTATATATAATAAAGTGAAAAGACAAGCAATGACCATCACTATAGCAGATTACATAAAGTCTAATAGCAAGTAATATACAACAGAGACGACGGTTTTTAAACAAAAACAGACGTATTTGACATATATAGACGACGGATTTTACGTCGTCTAATTGTAACCACGACGGTAGTTAAATAACACCGTCGTGTATAAGTAATAAAAACGACGGTTTAAAGTAAAAACCGTCGTCGTATGCCTGAAAACGCGTCGATATCCAGTTTATTTTCAAGATCCCAAAACCCTATTAAGAACACAACATAGACATGAAACCAAGCAAGAAACCAACATATACATGAAACCAACATATACTAAGCATGAAAACAATAAATCCATTCCCAATTCAACATGACAGAGAGTGATTAAAAGATCCGACAAAATGAAATCCATTCCATATTCAACATAACAGAGAGTGATCAAGAAAACATTAAACAGAAAATCCATGAACCCATACCTCCAACAACATTATTAACAGATCGCAAAACATATACCTAAAACCCTTTAACAAAACACCGTAATATATCATTCAATGAATTTACAAGGGGAAGAGAGGGTTTGTACTTACAGGTTGGCAGAGCTCACAGATTATGACCAAATTGGATTTGACACAGCCTGGCCCAACTTTGAATTAGAGATGAAGTGAGAGAGCGAAATGTTATGTTGCGCGAAATCAGAAAATTTTAGGGTTCAGGGTTAGAAGTATAAAAATAAGAGCCAAATCTGAAAATTTTAGGTCCCGCGAATATTTTAAGAAAGCGCGCTTTTTAAAACATCGACCGAAAATACAAGCGTCGTTAAAATTGAACATTAAAGATGACGCTTATTACATTAAGGACGTCGTGGTAAAACTATGTACCACGCAAAATCAAAAAAGGCGTTAAAACTATGAAAAACCACGGCGGGGTTAAGTAACTAACGACGTTGTAAACAATAATAAACGACTAACAGGTAAACAAAACGTCGTTTAAAAAGAAACCACGTCGGATTTTTCACCATACGACGTAAACTCAATATTCCACGACTCAATCACCGTCGTTAAAAGTAATACCCTAAACTTTAAAACCATAAATTATATATGTGTAAAATTTAATTTTATAAAATTGTTTATGGTTTTACATCCTAATAAATAACAAGCATAAACCCTAAACCCCAAAAATTATACTTTATCCATAAACCCTAATAAATAACAACCCTAAACCCCAAACCCAAACCCTAAACCCTAAACCATCAAACTATATAAGTGATGCTATGACTCATAAAAACAATTTTATTTTGGTTGGTCATTTTAAACTTTTCATTACACAAACTGCATTTTTTTGGGGTTTAGGGGGAAGAAAATATATCAATGACTTCATAGGAGTTGAAGTTGAATTTTTTGAATTTATTTTAAATTTATTTTTAAAATTTTGAATTAAAAATAATAAAATATTCTTATATCAACAACAAACCACGGCGGGGTTAAGTAACTAACGACGTTGTAAACAATAATAAACGACTAACAGGTAAACAAAACGTCGTTTAAAAAGAAACCACGTCGTATTTTTCACCATACGACGTAAACTCAATATTCCACGACTCAATCACCGTCGTTAAAAGTAATACCCTAAACTTTAAAACCATAAATTATATATTTGTAAAATTTAATTTTATAAAATTGTTTATGGTTTTACATCCTAATAAATAACAAGCATAAACCCTAAACCCCAAAAATTATACTTTATCCATAAACCCTAATAAATAACAACCCTAAACCCCAAACCCTAAAACCTAAACCCTAAACCATCAAACTATATAAGTGATGCTATGACTCATAAAACAATTTTATTTTGGTTGGTCATTTTAAACTTTCATTACACAAACTGCATTTTTTTGGGGTTTAGGGGGAAGAAAATATATCAATGACTTCATAGGAGTTGAAGTTGAATTTTTTGAATTTATTTTAAATTTATTTTTAAAATTTTGAATTAAAAATAATAAAATATTCTTATATCAACAACAAACCACGGCGGGGTTAAGTAACTAACGACGTTGTAAACAATAATAAACGACTAACAGGTAAACAAAACGTCGTTTAAAAAAGAAACCACGTCGTATTTTTCACCATACGACGTAAACTCAATATTCCACGACTCAATCACCGTCGTTAAAAGTAATACCCTAAACTTTAAAACCATAAATTATATATGTGTAAAATATGAAAACCTCAGCAAATTGTTTTTTCTTTTATAATATGAAAACCTCAGCAAATTGTTTTTTCTTTTATAATATGAAAACCTCTGCAAATTTTCAGGGAAAAAAAGGATGTATATTATAGACAAAATTTGTACATTATATATTATAGACAAAATTAGTACATATAAAAATATCAAGTGTTCCAAAAATCCTCTAATCCATATGAAGGCAAACAAACTCTGCCCATTCTTTCCTGACTTCATCAATGGCTGCTTGGGGGTATGGCGCTTGATCTTTTCCCTTGGCAAACTGCAATCCATAAACAACGATTATTAAGCTTTACAAAATAAAAAGAAATTCAGTCACAGACGACGTTTTTTTTATAACCGACGTAGTCTATCGATTCAACGACGGTAATTTTAAATGACCGTCGTTGATAATACAAAAACCAAATAAAATGTTTCTGAAAATTTTTTTCTTACCTTCTTCTCAAACTCCAAGGAAGGATCCATGATGATGTCCCTCATGAAGCGCATGACATAATACCCGCATTCGACACTGCTGGGTTGCTTTGGTGTGCCTGGCAGAGTTTTCCAAATTGGTGCTTTACGGCCTGGTCTGCCTATGTGGGAATTATAAATTTTTAAAGCACTGTTCACGATGTTTTGCCCTCCTCATCCACCACACGATTTCCAGGCAGAGGATCCAGAAAATAGACGGTTTCCCTCTTTGCCCTCACAATCAGCAAGACCCAATGACGGCTGCACAAAAATAAAATAAAAAACGACGGTTATTTATAAAAACCGACGTATTATATAGTTTCACACGACGTAAGAACTTAATCATCGACGTGATTATAAATTTATCACGACGAGAATTAACTACCGACGTGGTTAGTTGTTTCAAACGATGGTATAAATAAATAACCGACGTGGTTAGATGTTTCAAACGACACAGAATTAGTTAAACAGTTTTATAAGTGAAAATCATACAAACAAAATCCATTTAAGGAGACTAACCCTGGATTGTAAGGCATCATGAAAATCTGTTCACCATCTGTTTTCTGAAGTCGACTGGCTACAATTCGTGATCTGTCAGTTAGTGACCCAGCGTTGGCACTAACTTGAGCAGGGTCGATAAAGCCAACCATGCTGCACATATTTGCTTCTCTCAAAAGATCATATAAGCACCTAAATATATAAAACAAACGACGGTTATTTATACACAAACGACGTATTATATAATTTCACACGACGAACTGAAATAGAAACAGACGTGATAACTAATTTATCACGACGGTAAAAAAGAACGACGTGGTTAGTGATTTAAAACGACGCAATAATTAAACAACCGACGTCTTATGATATAATGTTTGATATTTGATTAGGACAAACCTCATATATACTGCAACCACAGTAGCCCCAATTTCTTCCATGCCTGCAACTGTGTAATATCTTCATGCAAGACGAAGGTACTTCGATCTGCACCAAACACCTCCTTCTCAATGTTGAAAGGTCATGATCTTCCCCTGTGGCTTTAGTGTAGTTTCCACATAACCACAAAGGGATTGTAAGGAAGATGGCACCTCCACATTTGAATAATCGAGTACTTCATCACCCTGTTTAAAGAAATAAAGCAAAATAAAATTGTTGTGGTAATTCATTAAAAACGACGGCTTAAATTAAACAACGTCGTCTGATTATAATTTAAACGACGGTAATTAAATACCGTCGTTTTAGATTATTTATTACGTCGTAGAAAATAAATTCCGACGTCTAATGTTAAAACAAACGACGGTTTAAAGAAAAATATTGACGTCTGAAATGTGAAAAACAAATTAAAAAGGCAAAGTTATGAGAATATACCTCCTCGTCATGCTTTTCTTCATCTTGTTTTTCTTCTTTCTTCTCTTCAACATTTGTGTCTTCCTCTTTGCCTTCATCTTTATTCTCTTTTTTTCTTCCTTCTTCCCTTCATCATTTTTTCTCCCATCTTCTGTTCATCTTTATTTTCTTCTCTCTTCTCTTCATCTTGATTATCTAAAGCCCCAGATTTCTGTTTTAAATAATAAAGAAATATATATATAAGACAGATTGTACAGAGAGTAAAAAAATTAAACCAAAACGTCGTGGTAAGGCATAACATAAGACGGTATGTAAGAATTATGGACGTCTTAAAATTATTAAACGATGGTAAATAATAAACGTCGTGGTAATTTTATATCACGTCGTTGAGGACAAAAACCGTCGTCTAAAAGCCACAAAGTACGACGTCTAATGGCGTGTAAAACAAGTAAACTAAATACGACGTGGTATTTAAATAAACACGACGGGTTATTTACAAAATCGTCGTGGTATGGTTTTAAAACGACGGGTTTATTCATAATAACGACGTCTAATGTTTAAAAAAAAACAGAGAATTCAAAGTTCAGTTATGTTACCGTTTGTTCTGCTGTTCCCCATTTCTGGCAGTATCATCCTCTAAATGTAGGGATCTCACGTCAGCCCCAGAACAGCTTGCTTTATCAGACATTGGATTTTGGGACTTTGCTGTAGACCTTGGTTTTCAGTTTTCGGTTTAAGCATGCTTGGATCAAAATTGGGGATGAGGTGGGAAAGCTGACTTAGTAAATGTTCCCTCTCAGCCTCTACTAATTGTTTGGTTCTAGCTTCCATCTTCTTAGTCTCTTCTTGAAGGACAATTCTTACACTTTCCTTCAATTGATCAGCAAACTTCACCCTTTGTGGTCTAGGTAAATTGAAGAATTGCCTAGGGGAAATCCCAGCACCTACCCCTCTTACTCTCCCTGGATGCTCGGGACCCAAAGCCAAGGTCAACACATCATTACTGCCAGTTATACTCAGACTGCCTTCAGCCACTTGTTTTTGCAAGTCATCCTAAAACAAAGACATAAAAAAAAGTCAGCACAAGAAAATACACGACGGTTATTTATAAACAAACGACGCATTATATAATTTCACACGACGCACCAATATAGAAATCGACGTTATAATATATTTATAACGACGTTAATTAAAACCGACGTGGTTAGTTGTTTAAAACGACGCAATAAATAAACCACCGACGTCTTATGCTGTAATTACAGAAAACAGAGTTGTGATTCCAGATTTAGATATTTCACGACGTTTTTGAAAACATTTCGACGTAGTAATAACATTAACACGACGGAAAAACATTAACCACCGACGTCTTATGCTATAATTACAGAAAACAGAGTTGTGATTCCAGATTTATATCTTTCACGACGTTTTTTAAAATATTTCGACGTAGTAAAATCATTCACACGACGGAAAAATATAACATAAGACGTAGTAAGAATTCTACACAGTATAATAAAAATTTAAAACAGAGTGTGTAGGCTTACAATTAATTTTGCTTTCTCTGCCACCTTTGGATCCGGGATGTTACCATGTTTGTCCTGTCTAGCTTTCTTCCATAAGGTAGATCGATCAATTTCTACCCCAGGCATGGTTTCCTCCAATTGATCCTCCAAACCAGCATATCCTTTTCGAGACAATCGATGATTGTACTCAAGTTTCTCCCTAATCTGTGCATGTTGAGAATGCACAGACTCAAAGTCTTTGGATAACCTTGAAGCTACAAAGGCATCCCATTCTGCTTTCTCTATGAATTTATATACTGCAGGGGGTTGGCTTAATTTCTCCCTCTCCTTGATGTATGGAAGGATATAATGCCTCGTCAGTGTAGACTTGAAATCCTTCCATTTCTTGGCAGCAGAAGATAACACCGAGGTCTTGCCCCCTTGACCTACCACAAAAGCCATGTCAACGGCTTCCCAAATCTGCTCCTTTATATCATTGGGGATGTCAGCCCATTTCTTGTCCACAAGTGGGACTCTGGAGCGTGCCAACACACCAATGTAGGACTGCATCTCAGTATGTGCAGGGCCACATCCTTTCCCCCTTTTATTGTACTCAACAACTGGCTTGATTTTCTGCAATTTTCTCTTCACAACACGAGGCATTGTGCTCATACCTCGACCTGACTTTGAATCCTCAGAAATTGTTGTCGTGCTGCTTGGTTCTTTCTCAGCAGATGAAACAAACTTCATCTTCTTCAAGGGCTTGTCTTGAGGAGTTACCATTCCAAGCTCCTTACCTCCATTTTTTTTGGAGCCAGAGTACTTACTTTGGTCTTGAGAAACCATGGTTACAGAATAAACAAACCTGCAAGTGAAAATATTTCGTGAAAAAAATTAGAACACAAACGACGGTTATTTATAAACTACGACGTATGATAAGATTTTACACGACGTAATAACATAACATCAGACGTAATAAATGATTAAAGAAGAACAATATAAATGTTTAAACAACGACGAAACAATATTAAATAAGACGTAATAAGAACTTATTACGGCGATATTTACACGACGTCGTGATATTCATATTAACACGACGTAAATATTAATATAACGTCGTGTTATGGATATTCACACGACGTGAATAATAAGCTACCGTCGTATTTATAAGAAACCAAAAACATTTTTCTTTCTTTGTGAATGTTTGATTGCAGGTTTCATTTCTCTGAAACATGGTTTTTGTTTTTCCTAATTTGATAAAATACAAAGAAAAAAAGCTTTGGCATCTTTTTATAGACGACGGTATCTTATTATAACGTCGTGGTATGAACATTCACACGGCGTCAATAATAAGATACCGTCGTCTATATAAGATACCAAACCCTACTTTCTTTGTCTCTGTATTTTATCAAATTAGGAAAAACGAAAACCATGGTTCAGAGAAATCAAACCTGCAACTAAACAAGCAAATAAAAAATTGACCGTCATTTTAAAAACAACTTAGATCAATTTTAAGACGACGCTAGGACGACTGACGAACCGTCGTGGTCTACATATTTAACCACGTAAATAAAAAGCTACCGTCGTCTTATTTAGTTGAATTAGTTATGTTCAAAGTTGAAACTTTCCCTCTCTGTCTGTGTATTTTATCAAACTTGGAAAGAATAAAAATGATTTTCGCCAGAAAAAAGGTAAAAAGATTTTCAAAACAAAAACAGTATGAGCATGCAATATAGCAACAAAAATAGTGAGAAATGAAAGCTTACCTTTTGCGTGCAATGAAAGCTTTCTCTCGGATTTTGGTGTTTAAGTTCAGAGGCGACGACGAAGACAAGAGGAAGACGATGAGATACTCTGACAGTGCTCTGACAAGGAAAAAAGACGAAAAGTTTTCTCTGGGAGATTGAAATGTTTTCTCGGGTTTGGAAACAGTGCATGTGTAAGTCAGGTAGACGAAAAGTTGTATATGTATACAAACCGTTTCATAGTAATAAGACGGCGGTTTACATAGAACGACGACGTATTAATAGACAAACTACGACGCTAATTTGAACTTATGACGTGGTACATAAATACGACAGTAGTGTTGTAGGTACCGCCGTAGTAAACTCCTAAATAAAAGTCGATAACTCAATATCTCGCGTCATGGTAGAAATATTTAACACGACGGTTGTTTTAAAGTTACGACGTTTATTTTTATAATATACGTCGTTTTATTGTAATATACCGACGTGGATAACACTAAACTAAAACGACGTATTATTTTTTCCGACGACGTGGATTCGTTTTTAAACGTCGTTATGTGTAATATAACCGACGTGGATTTTATTTTTTTATTATAAATATAATTTTTTCCCCTTTTTCTTATAGTTTATTTTTCAAAAACAGTGCCTTATAGATATAGTTTTTTTTCCCGAGGAAATTAATGTTCTAGAATTTGTAAAGTTTCTTTTCTAGGTGACTGATTTAAATCAAATAAAAATATAAAACAACGACTGTTTTTGTTATACCGTCGTCGTTTCTTGTCGTCTTAAGTAAGAATAAAACGACGTAATGTATTTGTTACCGACGAGGATTGTTTTTTGTTAAACGTCGTTATGTGTAATATAACCGACGTGGATTTGGTTTTTTAATTATAAATAGGGTTTTTTTCCACGGGTTCTTTCAGTTTTAGTATTCGATTAGGGTTTCAACTTCTTCTTGCCCCTTTCTCTGTCTCACCTCATCTCTTGGGAGGCAATTGTTTGAATGTTGGTTATCTGTGGCTGATTGCAAATCACCAATTTTCAATAAATTGTCTCTCTGATTGCAAATCTGTGGCTGCCGTCGTGAATTTTAGGAGGCAATTGTTTGGATGTGAATGTGTGTGTGCGTTTGTGTAGATACACAAACGCACACACATCATTCACTTCCAAAAAATTGTCTCTCTGATTGCAAATCTGTGGCTGCCGTCGTGAAATTTTAGGAGGCAATTGTTTGGATGTTGATGTGTGCGTGCGTTTGTGTAGATACACAAACGCACACATATCATCAACTTCCAAAAAAATTGTCTCTCTGATTGCAAATCTGAGGCTGCCGTCGTCAAATTTCAGAAGCAATTTTTTGGATGTTAATGTGTATGTGCGTTTGTGTATCTCAAAGACACAAATACACATACATCATTAACCTCTAAAATATTGTCTTTCTGGTAAGATTATGATGAGCAACAGAGTTCCATCTTGTAAGATTTCCTAACCCTTGTGATCTCAGAATAATCTGATTATGTCGGCGGTTTTCTATATAAACCGTCGTGGTTATTTCAATTCTTGTCGTTAGGTAGATCTACCGACGTAGGATAACAAAATCGAAGAAATAAATTGTTTAAAAAAAATTCTTATTCAGACGACGGTTTAAATATAATGTATGACGTATAAAGTGGACAAATACGACGTTAAATTCTATAATACGTCGTTATATGAAAACCCCAACTTGGTAAGATTGAAAGATGTCGTCGTAGAAATACGAGAAAGACGTCGTTATATTTACCTTTGCCGTAGTTGTACATTAATTTAATACGGCGGTATTTTGTATTTTACCGCCGTGGATTTATTTGTAATTATACGTCGCCTTATACGAAAACTTGGTCGTGTTAATTTCTGGGTAAAAACGACGGCTTTTTTTGAAACCGTCGTCTTTACTTTCTACGTCGGTCGGTTCATAACTTCCGCCGTTATTTGTTGGCTATGATTTTACCTCTTGAAAATCCTATTTCAATAAGACGTCGGTTTTTTAATTAAGTACGTCGTGTTTTTGGAACAGCCATTTGAAACTCCATTTTTTAGTTGTCTAATGTGTTATTACACGGCGGTTTTATAAAACCGTCGTCTTTTAAAAAACAACGACGGTTTTCACGTAGACCGTCGTGTTTTTGTGGTCGTCTTTTTCACTTTTTGTAGTAGTTTTTTTTTTTTTTTTTTTTTTTTTTTTTTTTTTTTTTTTTTTTTTTTTTTTTTTTTTTTTTTTTTTTTTTTTTTTTTTTTTTTTTTTTTTTTTTTTTTTTTTTTTTTTTTTTTTTTTTTTTTTTTTTTTTTTTTTTTTTTTTTTTTTTTTTTTTTTTTTTTTTTTTTTTTTTTTTTTTTTTTTTTTTTTTTTTTTTTTTTTTTTTTTTTTTTTTTTTTTTTTTTTTTTTTTTTTTTTTTTTTTTTTTTTTTTTTTTTTTTTTTTTTTTTTTTTTTTTTTTTTTTTTTTTTTTTTTTTTTTTTTTTTTTTTTTTTTTTTTTTTTTTTTTTTTTTTTTTTTTTTTTTTTTTTTTTTTTTTTTTTTTTTTTTTTTTTTTTTTTTTTTTTTTTTTGTTGGGGGGAGTCATGGTGGGTTTTGAGTGAAATCCAAGGCTAAAACTATGCATACACCACCCACCCCATTTCAGAACGAACTTTCGAACGACACCATGGTCGCGATTTTCAATGGACTCATCGATATCGATTGAGTCCAAAACTTGGGGAACACGAATATGGTGGGGTCATTTGGTGGGTTTTGAGTGAAAATCCAATGGCTAAAACTATGCAACACCAACCACTCCATTTCAGAACGAACTTCCTACGACCTGAATGCCCGATTTTCATGGACCGATCGATATTGGATTGGGCCCAAAACTTGGGAAACATCATAATATGGTGGGGGAGTCATGTAGTGGTTTTGAGTGAAATCCAATCTCTAAAACTTGCATACACCAACCACCTCTCCCTTTTAGCACCACTGCGTACGAACAAGAAATTGTCCGATCTCACGACAATCTATCTTCGGATTGACTCCAAAACTTGGGGAACATCATAGTAGGTGGAAGTATCCTTGTGTGGTTTTGAGTGAAATCGAATGCCTAAACTATGCATCACCAACCACCATTTCAAAAAGAACTTCGTGAACCTGAATTGTCCGAGTTCATGGACCAATCGATATGGATTGAGTCCAAAACTTGGGGATATCTATATTGTGTGGTGAGTCCTTTGTGGTTTTGCGTGCATCCCAATTGAAGGTCTAATTTCACACTTGCATGCCTCTATGTGCTACGTAAATTTTGTTTAGCTTCTCTTTATTTGTAGTCTCTTACCTATGTTTGTGGTGTTTTCTAGGTTAAACCGAAAAGGGGTGCCTTTGTTACCAATTCAAGCCTTTAAGGGTGTAGTGGCACAAGATCTATGAGTTTAAGAAAAAACCCAATTTGAGCCACACTCCTTTCGGTCCATTTCGTCGGTCCATCTTGCAGGCCGCCTTTCAGCAACTTACAACAGGTTCGGAGGAGGAGACATCTGATAGCAGTTGTTCCAATGGTGCTATATACATATCCAAATTTCAGCCCCATTGGATAACTTCGGAGCCCTCAGCACGTCAATGACCGACTAGTTCACAGAATGTCGTGTTGGCTGCATCAAATTTAATGTGGCTACTCCCTAGAGCCATGTGCTGCACATGGGCAGCATACATGGGATTCAAATCAGCTCAGGAACTCAAAGATGAACAAAAGTCAAGCTTTCCAATAAAGAAACCATACCAAGCATGTATTTATGCATCTAGGACAGGGTTGGGAGGGGTTTAGATTCACCAATTCTACTCTCCTTTCACAAGCAACACATGAATGGCCTAAGAATCATTCAAGGGTTAATAACCATAGTTGACTAGGACACATACCATGTTCTAGGATTGGGGTGATTATCTATTCTCAAGGCGCTTAATGACTCTTGTATATCTTAGGTTGCATTTAGAGATCACGTGTTGTGTAGATACCATGCATAATCACATGCCTAAGGAGAATCATGCATCCTGCACCTAGATACCATAGGCTTGTATGCGATAATCTATTGTGGATGAAG